GAACATGATTTAACGCAGACCCGGCAAAATGGCGGCGAAATTGATCTTTTATGATTATAAATTAAAATTCTTATTATTATCTCAATTGTAAGATATATATATTATTATTTAAATTTATTACTTTATTAATATTAAAAACTAGTTAATAATAAATCTACATTGATGGAAGTGTGTTTGGGTTAAAAATCATAATTCGTTTACTAATTAATTATATAAAACATGAAACTATGTAAATTCATATTCACACTCCGTCATAAATCAACTAATAAATAACATAATGATACGAGTATATTGTTGAACGAAAAATAGTCAAGATGGAGTTGTCATGTGCGCGGTAGTTAGTGTTGCCACCCTGGTGGTTTTCCCACCAGATCTGGTGTTTTTTTAAGGCTTTTGGTGGCTATTTATTTTTTGACGTGGATACGTCTATGTTTTCGTTCTACAGGGGGTCATTCTGTGAGCAGGAGTATATGCACTAACGCCATCTATTGGCGTATAAGTGAAATATGCTTGCTCTGCAGGGGGAGGGGCATTCTGTCAGCAGGAGTATATGCACTAACGCCATCTGCTGGCGCTAGTGAATACTTTTTTCATTCAACAAATGAACGCAACGAATATTTATTTATTTAGTGTTTAGTGTCTTCAATTTGTTTTTTTTTATCAATTACTCATTCATACATAGACGTATCCACGCATAAAATATGGCTGTATCAATGATACAGCCAACCAGTTTTTTAGTGGTTTTTAGCGGTTTTTCAATATGAAATCTGACAACACATTTTCAAGAGGGAAATTCCCTACCGTTTCGGAATTTCGTAATGCTCTATGCTTAGTCTATGACCGGGGAATCCGTAGGCGCATTGATTAGAAAAGATTTTTTTTTTGAGAGTTATTTATTTATAGGACACCAACAGTGTATGCATTAATACATATTTTGCAGTACAGTATCAATAAATTATCGGTCTGATGCGTACACCTTTTTAGGCGACACGACATTGGCATTCAAGCAATTTTGATCACAGATTATTAAATTATACAACAATGTCAGAATAACAGTTCACAACAATAATAACCATGTAGAATTATGTTTAAAAATATATATATATATAAAATGCAATAAACAGAAAGTAAAGTAAAAAAAATGATTACAATTACAATACAACTACAATACAATTACAATACAACTGCTGACTGGTACAAAAATGTTTTTATTTTATCTCGAAAATTTCGATATTTGTCGTGAAATAAGTCCACTCTGCCACACACACTACAAACCCGATTATAGTTGCTACACATTCGTGAAATCGGAGCATTAGAACCCAAATCAGTTCGTGATACGGGACCCCGAAGTAGTTTTGCGATTGGGTGGCGGGGTACATGATATGGAACAGAAACTGAAACTTGCTCCAACAGGTCAATACATCCAGTGTGGCCGTTCAAAATTTTGTATAACAAAAACAAGTCGTTAGCAGTACGGCGGGTTCTTAAGGACGGTATATTGAAAAATTTCAATCTTTGCTCATAAGCGCACCTGTGGGAAATACCCCGAGAAGCAAACGCTAGCTGCCTCGTAAACGCACGCTGAATACCCTCGATCCTTTGTGAATGGGAGACGTAAGAAGGATTCCAAACAGAACTGGCGTATTCCAAATGACTGCGTACAAGCGAATTATACAACAAAACTTTAGTTTTTACCTTAAAGTCTTTCGCATTTCGTTTAAGAAACCCGAGCATTCGAGCCGATTTCGCAATTATATTGTTTATATGAGACGTATACTTTAATTTCGAATCTATAATCACTCCCAGGTCCCGCATCTCGGTTACTTCGATTATTCTTTCTCCATCCAGATTATAGGTGTTGAGCTGTGGAAGTTTCTTCTTTGTAAATTTGATGTAGAAACATTTTTTTGGATTCAATGTCATGTCGTTGATAAAGCACCAATCTGTCAATCTGTCCAAATCACACTGTAATTGCAAAGAATCAGCACTCGAAGTCACCTCCCTAAACAACTTCAAATCATCCGCGAACAATAATACTCTACAGTGCTTAACCACATTAGGAATGTCATTCACAAATACTGAAAATAGTATTGGTCCTAGAGTTATATTGTATGTGTCAGTATATGTGTCTCGTTCGTGTTGTTAAAAAGTCTTAAAGTTTGACAAATCCTATTGTGTAACAGTGTGTGAAGCCTTAAATACAATCCAATAATGGAAGTTCCATTGAAGAAAAAAAAATACACACGGAAGTATAGAAAAGAGTGGGAATCATCAGATGAATTCAAGACCTGGCTTAACCCGCTGGTGATGATACGAAGGCGTTTTGCTCATTTTGTAAAGCAGAATTATTAACAAAATTAGTAGACTTAAAGAGACATGCTGAAACAAAAAACCAAAAATGAAAATTATATCCGCCAATAAAATGATTCAGTTCGCTCCTGGTGAAAAGTTTACAAACCCAAAATTTCACCAAGCTGATGGAATGCTCGCTCTATACATTACAGAACACAGTTCAGTTTCCTGTATTGATCATCTAATAGATTTAGTAAAATCGACTTTCTCTGATTCCAAAGCAACGGTCGACATAAAAATGCATCGTACCAAGTGTACTGAAGTTATTAAGAATGTTTTGGCACCACATTTCGGTGAAGACCTAATAAAGGATATAGGAGGACAGAAATACAGTCTTATCATTGACGAATCAACCGACATCAGTACGAGCAAGCAACTAGGTATTGTTATCAGGTATTTCAATCGAAAACGAAAGTGTTTCATCTTTTTTAGCTCTAGAACCACTGAAATCCAGTGATGCAGTCGGAATTATTTAATCCCTTCTTTCTTGCGTACAGTCGGCGTCTGTGGAAGATGATGAAGTTATAGAAGATATACCGTTTGATAATTTTGAATTTTAACTTTCCTTTTTTTATTAAACATTGATTCTTTACTGATTGGGTACAAATGAATGAACAGATTTATGCTTTTTATTTCTTTTGTTCTATTTTATTAAATATTAAATATATTTATTAAGTCAAGTTACATCTATTATAATAAGTAGATTACATTTTTTAAATACGTAATTTTTTTATAATTAATAATAACTTGCACTAGATACAACTATTTTAGCTCTATTTTATACGAAATTGTTAGTTTTTAGTTAAAGCAATTATATCTAAAACACAATTAACACTAGTCTGCAATGTTTTTTTTTATTCTGAGATAATGTATTAATTTAGCGGTATTTGGTGGTTTTTTTTTACCAAAGTCTATGAAATCTAGCGCTATTTTTTTTTACTTTAGATCTAGCGCCTTAAAAAATCCAAGATGGCAACACTGGCGGTAGTTACTAAGGTCAAAAAGAAAAAAAAACAAAGGGTGACGGTGAAGGAGTTTCAGTTTTGTTGGGTGGCTTGCCGAGTGAAAAGATAAGTACTTACTGATATAATTGTGTTAAGTGGTTTAATCTGTTTAAATTAAAATAAATTATAACCATGTAATTTTATCATTGTTTCTTTAGTATTTGCGAATGAATTCAAATTAAATACATGTTGTTTTGTGCTTTTGATTTGTGTCTTATGAAATGCTTTTGACTATTATCGATTAAAAATAAGGATTGAGAGTGTCATTTTATTTATTTAAAGGCTGTGATTTCAATACATACGAGTTAAATACTGTTTGTGGTTTTAATTATACAAGTCTAACCTACTGTTTTCAACATACGTCAGAAACAAAATTTGAATGAATATTATAAACAAAATCCAAACACCGCGAGTGACACCTAGTATGATTTCAAGAAATAATCTTTATTTTTTAAATACTTCCTCATTAAAGGTCTTCTAATTTGGTAGCCGTCTGTTGTGCAGTGTGTGGTATAGCGTTGTCGTGAAGTAGCAATGGCGTAGAGCGATTTACCAGTCTCGGTTGTTTAGTAGCTTTCCAGCATGGTTAGCAATTGCTGACAAAAGATGTCGTCCGTAATCGTCTGGCCAGATTTGAGAAAACTTTAATGAATGACACCGGCATTAGTTCACCAAACGCTTTCAAGTAACTTTTTTAGGATCAATTTTCGCATGGGGCAGGATTTGGCTGGCATGCCAGGGTCCAACCATTGCGATGAGCGCTTCCGATTGTCGTAGAAAATCCACTTTTCATTACAGGCAATGAGTCTATTTAAAAACCCTTAATTATTGTGCCGATTAAGTAATGTAACGCAGCAGTCACTCAATTTGTGAGGTTTTTTTTACCTTTTAATCTTTCCAATTTGCTTCAAGTGGATTAAAACAATTTTATCACTAACTCCGCAGCCTGCAGCTAACTCGGATAGCCTTCAATTCTTTATTATTAACTTGGGTCTCCGGCCGTCCACGGGGCTTGTTCTGCAGGTAGAAATTTCCAGAACGAAAACGTTGGAACCAAAAAGGCAGTGTTTTCTTTTGCGACACAACCGCAATTTCCATTTTTTATACTGGGTGACGTAAATAGGAAAAACAGATGAAAAAAAAAAAACAAATGAATGCCGCCTAATGGAACAAAAATACATTTGTAAATGGCTGTATAAATTTGAATACGGAATTCCCAACCAAGGAGAAGAAATTTGTGATTAAAGTGGCCAGTACGACAAAACGCCAATTTCAAATGTAAGTATCTAATATATCGGCTGTATTTTTTGGTTAAAATGGTCTATTTTTCGTTCTTAATCTTAGAAACAAAACTATATTATGAAAATTATTGATAAATAAAAAATAGTGCTTTCTCGTGAATTTTACTGTTTTAAAAAATCTAGTGGACATGGAAGAGATTAATGAACTTAGCGATTTCTTCTTGCACCGTTCTGTGTAAAAAAAACATATAGGGCTGGAGCATCTTGAATATTTTATGCACTGACTTAAGAGAAGGCTTGACGTTATTTAGAACAATTGTAAAAAAAAATTGGGTAGAAATAAAAACTTTACTGTAGAAACACTGGCTGCCACTGTCATTGTCATTTTCCTTCGCTTTTCTTTCTTCCAAGGTAGTTTGTTCTTCCTTCCTTCAAATAGCACTTGACGTATTTTTATCAATAAGTTGTAACAAGGATAAGGTTTGTGATTCCCACAGCGTGCATTGTGATTACTATATCACAGTTTATTACATTATTTGTGTAGTAAATATGGGAAGTCATCAGAGCCATGAAAACAAAACTGACAAGACCGAAGCTGTCAGTGGAAACAGCACGCCTAGAGGTTCTCAGCGAGGTTCGTCACGCTCAGGCTCCGGAGGAGACTTGCAGGGGCTTCAAGAGAAAGTGGAAAAGCCTCCACCATCTATGGTGCCTGTAGAAAAGCTCGGCAAGGTAAGTGAGGCATGGCAACTGCAACGCTAGTTTCAGGGTTATGTCGCCTTTTGTGACGTTTCCTCGCCACAGCTGTATGTTTGTTTTGGTTTCAAGGCTATAGTTTACGGTCACAGACTTGAGAAAATTACTTTTGATTCTATTTAATTTCGTTTACTTAATTATTTCCAATATTCAATATAATTGTTTTACATAAATGTTGAAAACTGAAAGAAAGATATTGTTTACTGAATTATTCACTTATCTTTGTCGTAATGCCTAAACTATAAGTAGGTAATTGTCAACAAGAGGGTAAGTAAAATAAACAAATAAAGTAAACAGTCTGAAAAATGATTTTACAGGCAGATTTACTGTCAATGACCAGTAAGAAAATCAGATTTTTTTTTATTGACTGACTATCTTGCATTGCACTATGATTTGAGTTATTTCATAATCAGTATGAATTTTTTAGAAAGGACAGTCAAGTCAAATGCCATTGATGAAAATAAATGCTTATACTTTTAAATGGTTAGTAGCAATAAAATTAAAGAGATTGAAGAATCTAAAATGAATAGGCAAAAGTTTGAGTCTCATCTGAGATCTTTTATTTTAAAACTCTACTATGTAAATCCATTTGAACATTTTGTTTTCACTGTACAAAATAATTATATTAGAATTTTAGGTAAGCAACATTGTAAACACCAAAAATAACAAAATGATACAGTTTTTTTATTCCAAAACAAAATACCTATTATAGATTATAATTTCAAACAAATATTTTTTTTGTATTCTATTTCAAGTCTGAAAAGTTTTTATTCTAGTTATGTGCATATTTGTTGTTTCTGTCAAATGTATTTTATGTTTATGAAGTCATTGTTATAACTGGACAGTTATGATACCCCTCCCTATTCCCTTCCCTCTACCCCTCAACCCTTCCCTCCCTATGATCATATTCGTCCCTCAAAGGCCGGCAGCACGCTTGTAGCCCCTCTGGTGTTGCAGGTGTCCATGGGCGACGGTAATCACTTACCATCAGGTGATCCGTCTGTTCGTCTGTCCCCTATACCATAAAAAAAAACAGAGTCATAAAAAACATGTTCTTTCATAGTGCCTAGCATTATAACCAAGCATATGCCTATAGTTGTCACTAAAAATGGTTTGGTCTTATATGTACTGTTGTACTAAACTGAGTAGACTAACAATTTTTATATTCTGCTAGATATAAACATGAAATATTTTGTTGAAATACCTACATACACTTTATTAGGAAACTGAGTATGTTTCTATAAAAATTATGTGTGTTGTAATGTTTCTATTAAATTTGAAAGTAATTTTTTATGCAGATTAGTGTGCACTAGCTTTGACAAAAGGTTTTGCAGATAAGTTTACACTGTCTAAATATTGCCCATTCTTGACTTATAATGAGTCGTGACTGATAAGATATGACCCATGAGAAATGGCAAAAAAATTTATGTCCAGACTACATGAATAGACAGCAGGTATATTAATATGGTAACTGTTGTAGTTCAGTGACAGCTAAAAGACGTCCTGACCAAGTGGTAGGGGGAATTTGTTTTTTTGACAATTCAAAGTGCTTGTACTATTTAATTTTTTTGGATTATTTATAAGCTTACTTGAATAAAGATATTTTCATTTAATTCAAAAGAATTTGCTTTGCCCACGGAACAAAAAATAATAAATATATATGCATATGTAATTCAACCTCTTGTGATATGTGTTGACGTCTATACATTCAAATTATTGAATAAAAAAATGGGAAGCTTTAGCGTTTTACACATAAAGCATAGCTACCAATAATATGATATAACTCACCCATTTTTAAGCTAGAAAGTATATTATTTTTGCACTTTTTACAGAACACTTTGGAATAGAGATTAAGATCAGTTAAATAAGAAATTTCAAAAAGATGATGGTTTTTTAAAACATTGACTTTTGTTTTTTTTTTTATGTAAATTTACATACAAAATACTATGTGTTCCGAAGTTTTGATATGAAATAAAAGTTGTGTAAGTTTTTTAATAATTAACTTATATTTCTAAAATTTTCAGTAACCATTAAATAGATAATAATCAACAGTAAAATATATTTCATTCAAAATGACCGCCCTTGTTTTTAATGCAAGCCTTTAGACGATTTATCCGGTCATCAATGATGCCACAATTTTTTTCTAGCGGAATTCACTTTGCTGCTCGAACAAGGGTTCGCTTCAGTGACTTCAAGTTTGGGTGGAACTTTTGGCTGGCCCTGAGCTCTAATTCAGTCCATAAAGAGTAATCCAGCGGGTTGAGGTTGGGGCTGGAGAAGGGCCACTCCTCTACCGCGATGAAAGCCGGCACATTCTCCCTCAACCAAGCTTGGGTTCTTTTTGCTCTATGGTATAGCGCCGAGTCTTGCATAAAAACCCAATCCATATGAAACTCCCCACCATACCATCACACTAGCCGCTAGATTTAGCGTACACTTTATTATTTTGTCAGTTGAAATTTTCGGTGAAGAGTATCTTCCTGGCATCATGTCTCCTCAGCAGCAAAACTTTTCTACGGCTATAGGCCTTTACCTTAAGATCATAATTCAGTAGTATTCTGTTCATTTAAACGCTTGAAATATTAGTCTGCAGAGAGAGTTTCTTCTGAGTGCGACATGGATTTCGGCGAAGTTGCTCTCGGATGATTTTGATGTTTGCAGGCGTCCATTCCAAATTCGAAATTCAAAATCGGTAAAAAAAAAATAACAGCTAGTATCATTTTATTTTTTTTTCAGTAAAAAGTTTGCCTCTACTTATGGACACACAAGGTAAAAATGAATTCTTGAAATGATATTTTCACATTTGAAATATTTGCAAAGTAAACCTTAGCGAAATCTGTATTTTGTCAAATTAATACTTTCATCTAAAACTACAATTTTTCAGTTTTTAGGTGTCGAAAAAAATGTTGTAGTACTCGTATTTTTAATGGTTTGGTAAATCAAATATTAACCGTTTAGACGTACTTAAAAAAAAGTCAAGTAGCTTATTGATTTAAAATAATCGATCTTAAGTTTAATTTTGATATTTTTTTTTATTTGGCAAATATTAGCATAGCATTACATTAAAATTTGTAAAAAAAATGGTAATTTCATAGTACCTCGCCTTAAACAAGGTAGACGCGCGAGCACCATACTTTGTTGGGGACTATTTGAGTTTTCAATTAAAATTATATGTCTAAACATATGATAAATTTGGTATTATTATATCAGTGGTGACGTTATAAGTTCGCTCAGTTATTACCGCTTCTTGTTAATTAACAATTCACGTGATTACTGTCATCGTCCATCGCGGTTGATGCTCGCAAATTCAGTTGTATTATTTGTCTTTATTTAGACAACAAACAGTCATTATATTAAGGAGTAGTTAACATATTATATGTTACAAAGATATTGAGTATATTCATACAATAAAGATCAATATTAACTTTGGCATTAAGATTATATTCATTTATACGGGCAGTGTCATGTGCCAATAGGGCGCAAATAAAACTCTTTGATCATATCCGGTCCATCAAAGAATCTGCCGTTTGTTTAGTCTGTCACTGAAAATTTCATTTATAAATGAAACAGCTGAAGACGTTCAATGAATTCCATAAACAAGACAGACATCAAAACAGTCGAATCATCTTCAAGTACTTTCGAGATACACCTGCATGAATTACAAACAGACAGATGTCCATTCCAGACTCAACGGACGCTTCTAGTCCAACGTATTGCTAATAATCATTACAGTCATTACCGTCGCGTCGGCGAGATATATTCTCGTCGATAAGTTTTAAAGACAACTTTATTCATATTCAATCCAATACTTATATAAAAAATTCAGCTTTATTTACTACTGTTCCAGTCCTTAATCGAAAAGTTTTAATTCTGACCTTATATCTCTCAGACACATATTAAGTTTCGATTTCAAGTTGTGTATTTCATTTAAATATTATATGATTTTTTATGATAACAAATTAGTTTCTAGCTTTTTTCACCTTACCTTTCGCCCGCGTTAATTATAGCTTCCCGAAGATCAGTATTTCCGGAGATTACCGACAAGAAACAAACAAAGTTAGAAACTTTACCTTTTTATAATATTACTATTAGATTTATTCACACACGAAATAAGTCTATTTTTGTCATGATTCGAAACAATATAACAGGGAATAATGGATTTTCGTTGATTGAGCTGATTTTGAAGTAGGATATTATTAAAATATATTCAAGCCATTCCATAAACTGAACTTAATTAAATATATAAAACATACGGGTATATGAGGCACCAGTTCATCATCAAAGCACTGACAAGAATATTAATTCTGCTATCACAATCCCTCATTATCACTCTATTGACAAATCTTGACAAATGCATAGAATAATGCTTTATTGTTGTTCGACGCAGATTATAATAATATCGATCGTTAATCACCTATGAGATACTAAAGGGTTCCGCGTTTACTGTTAGAAATTAACAACAATAAGAAGTTATTTCAAAAACGCTGCTCGGCTGCTACTGGTCGAGTCTCTTTTAATATTTATGAATTTTGGTCGCTTTTAGTATACTGGTTTCTATTTTAAATTTCATTCGAATAACGCACAATATAACGATCCTTTTCCACTATTTTTTTTATTAATATCACATATACGTTTGTTGTCATAATTGAAATAATTATCTCTTTTTTTTTCTGGTTTTGGCTTATTTTTATTTGTTATTAATTTTCGGTTCTGGGGTGGTTTCAAATTGATCAGAGTAACGCTAAAACTAACTAAAATTGCCTAATTAATACCATTTTGAACGTTATTGATCAACTTAATTATATTTATGTTCTCTTTTCTTTTTTCGTCATTTACGTTCATATTTGAGAAATTTATATTTCAAAATCAGTAACTTCAAAACATTGTCTTGTTATTAATATTTTATCATAAAAATACGATTAGTTCTCATCCTATCCCTAAAGCTAATCTCTGCTTTATTAATCAACGTTAAACCCTTCGTCATTTATAATCATATCAGAAATCAAATCAAAATTAATGTAACTCTCATTCAGAGCACACTTCCTTTTTGTGTGTTGTTGTTGTTGTTTGATTTCTGTTTTTGATATACATACATAATATAAATAACTAATAGATAAAATTATATTAACTTGATTCTACAATCATGTAAATGTCTACTTTATAATTAAGTTGCTTTGTCATTTAGATCTATAATAAGTCCTTAGCGAGTGTAAAGAGTATGTGTAAAAAGTAACACAGTGCTTGAAGTGAATCGCAATGGGTGTTTGGTCTCCGCATTGTTTGCGCTTTAGGATTGTGGGCATCCAGATCCACAAGCCTAAGAAAAAACCGTCTGCTCCCACTTGCAAGGTAGTTATTTACGAAGCCAAAAATAGCTTTACATTTGTACTTTGAATCTTCTACAAAGCCGGTGACAGGGACTGTATCTGGCCTGCTTGTTTTATGTCAAATTCTATCGCAATCTCTTAAATAAGCGATCGTGGTAGCGATTTATGGAATTATATAATGTTTAAATTTCAAAACGAATTATTGAATGATCAAAGAAAACAATTTAAACTTTGTTATTTCAAATATTTGCGTTCATCGTTCATTCAATATTTTTATTAAAGCTTCACGATCGCAATTAAGTATACACATATCAAATAGTAGTAATATTATTGCGTGAAGTTCGTGAATATCTTCTCGAATGTCAAATTTAGAGGGATTGCGATTAATTAGACAATTAGGCCCTAGTATCAGTATATCTAAAATCTTGTAGAAACTCTTAATTAATAGCATAACTAAATTTCAGGAATGCAGTTTCATAATCGTTTTATCTATACTTATAATAAATCTGTAGAGAGGTCAATTCTGTACATGAAATATATTTCCAAAATAACTATCAGGGGGTGATTAGGGATCGATACTGATGCCAAAAATGCAATCAGTAAAATTTTTGTCTGTCTGTCTGTCTGTATAACCGTTATAGAAACAAAAATTACTCGACGGATTTTAAAGAAACTTGGTACAATTATTTTTCATACTCCTGAGCTGGTTATAGTATACTTTTCATCACGCTACAATCAATAGGAGCAGAGCAGTGAAGGGAAATGTTGGGAAAACGGGAGAAGTTACTCCATTTTTTAAGCTTCCATCGTGTGTGCAACCTTAATGATTAAAGCTACCCAGAAATCATGTATGACGGAAATGTTCTGCCTAAAATTATATAAAAAATATCTCACGACAGCATATGTCTATCTTTTATGGTTGACTCATAATAACACGTGTAACTCCCGATAGCTTAGCAGTTCGAAGCTTTCTGATTGTTTTTGTCTATTGTCTACTCTTACGTTTATAACACTTTCAGTCATCCCTAATTAAAAAAGTTAAATCACGCCGAAACTACTGAACGGATTTTGATGAAATTTGATATACAGATAGGGTATAAGCTGACTTAGATAATAGGATTTCTTTTTTTCCCACTTAACATTTCCCTAGGGACCACACGGGCGAAGCCGCTGGCGAAAGCTAGTTAAAAAATAAGTCTGCAAAAGCTACTACTCTATTGATAGTATTCAAAGCTACTCAAGGAAATGATAAATGAATAAAAATTTTAAACAACATATTTTTACTATATGTTTTAGAAAGAGAAAGAGATTTTCTGGTGTTAATTGGCATTTTTTAAATAAAATTGAGAGTTTTACACCTTTTTTGGATAACTACTTAGAAAAAGTGATATGTACTTATTCCCAATCGTATGTAACGTTTAATCGGTATATATATATATATTGATCTATGATATTAATTATTTAGTAGTTAATTAAATATTGTGAATGAATCAAGTTATCAATTAAAATATTTTTCACTATCTAACGTGTTTATCAGTCAATTGATAAGAATAGACGTCGTTAGTATGATGTTAAAACATCGGCTTAAATATATTTTCAAGAGAGTACATCCATTCATTATTGACTTATAGAATAATTTTGATATGTACAAAACCTGTCGTCTGCCAACATATGATTAGACGAAACTATACTAATGTTATAAAGCTGGGGTTTGTTTGAACGCGCTAATCTTAGGAACTACTGGTTCGAATTGAAAAAATTTGTGTTGAATAGACCCTTTATCGAGGAAGGCTTTAGGCTATATAACATCACGTTGCAACTATTAGGAGCGAAGAAATAATGGAAAACGCGGAGGAAGTCGCTGGCGGCCACTAGTAAATTCTATAATAGTTTTGTTTATTTACTCTGTAAATAATGCAATGACGTTACTTTGACAAATATATATTACATTATTCATATGTTACATTATTATAATCTAACCTCTTTTTTATATACATTTCAAATCAGCCTCCATTGGCTTTGATTTTAGATGATGCCAGTAAAATCGAAGCCAATCGAGCTAAAGTCTAGTACAAAATCGATTGCAGGAACTTTTATATCTATATTGTGTACTCGGGAGATTCTTGCTTCTCCACAGGAACCTCAATGATTGTACGTGTTTATTCTTTCACAGTTACTTGCACAACGATCGCGCGAAGAAGACGGTATTAATGGAGTCACGGAAAAATGTTTCACGGTAAGTGTGTTTAGTATTTAATTGTTGACATATAAGTTGCCATTGTTATACGACGCTCTTATATTTTCACTGGTTTTATTGCTCAGTTCTACAATAGCACTTTATCCTTCAGGGTATGCAGTTTCGACTTAGTCTACAAACATAATTTACCGGAATTCGGTCGGTAACTCATAGCAATCGTGTTTTATATTGGTTAGATAAATGGTTTTAAAGCACAGATAATCTTCATAGATGAAACCAATCTACCCAGCATGCCCAACTGGGTCCGCGTGTAGGTCTCAATGCGGATTGGTGGCGTTAAAGCACAGATATTCTTAATGGTTGAAACCAATCCCCCCAACATTAGTAACTGGACCCGTAATTAGGTCCCAATGAGGATTGCTACCCAGTAATCCGTACTAGGACCGCGTGGTCGTCCTAAATCGTTCCGCCAAAAATATTTGACACCCCCACCCATTTACTGGCCTTTGCAATCGTCGCTTAATCTCCGCAATCAAACGCGATAAACACTACATCGATCTTTTCGCTTTTTTATATAGGAGGCACATTGCCATAGTATTTTCTCAAATTGAATATATTGTATTTTGAAAATTTAGTAAGATTGCGCAGCTAAAACGCTCCTCGATTTCACTTAACAGAAAATCGAAAATAGATCGAGTGTTCCACCGCCCTCGTATATTTGAAGCGATATCGCAGACCACGAGTCTGTACTCGTGTCTGTGACATGCATTTCGATGTCGAGTTGATTTGTGATCGATAGCGACGGATTGTGCAAACTCATGAGTAAACATGCGATTCTCCATACATTTTATAAGGACATGCGATGTCGCTCATCGATATCGAATTGCATCGCATCTATCCGTTAGTAAAGAGACTAAGGCAAACTATGTAAGTTATGGTGATTGGTAACTACAGAAGCAAAATTATTGTTTATCTGCAGAAGTACCTGTTCCCTATGTATCCGGAGCTAGCAAGGCAGTTCTATAAATACATTCATCGCGTGGGCAAATGTAAGAATAAGCACATACCCCTGTCAACCTTCAGGCAGCACTGCGAACGAATCCTCAGTATGTTGGATGATGCGGTCATAATAGATACATACGTCAGGTAACTAGTAAACTTTTCAAGGTTGATAAAACGAAGTTTAAATTATGATGCACGAGCGTCTTAGTTTGAATGCTAAAAAAATGTCCCATTTTGGGATTTTGTTCATTTGCTCGACATATTTTTTCCAATAAATAATCTATATTCATATTATAAAATGGAAAGATTGAATTGCTTGTTTGTTTGCATTGGATAGGCTCCGAAACTATTGGATCGATTTATAAAAGTCTTTCATCTACTCGAAGCTACATAATACAAGGGGGAATAAGCTATAATTGACGCAGGTGAAACCGCGGGGCAACAGCTACTTTGATAGAAATTGGCCCACAATTCAAGATGAAATCGATGAACTTACCTATTATCACAAAAAAAAATACAGTGAAAAGTAAAGTATACATAAATCCTCCTTTCGGTTTAAAAATAATATATATTAGTGATTTCATTCACTTAGAATGTTTGGTGCGGAAACAGACGACAACATGATGACCCCTGATGGTTTTCGCAGTCTACTGTATACCAGCTATAAATTATCCATGGACCACTACCCCGAGGGTCCCCAGACCTGCCTTATGGTCAGTGCAGAGACTATTCCGTTCTTATACTATTTATTAACTGAACCTCTTTAAATCTGGTGAAATTGCTGCTACTGCAGCAGCTTTATAAACACTTCAACATTAATTAATAGATTTGTGTATAGTCTAGCTTGAATTATATTTATGTTGAAAAACTTGATTTGTTTATATCATAGCTATAGGGTTTTGACTTTCGACTTTCTATAAAGGAGTGGCTAACTCGACCGCGTATCTCCTCGTTAGATCGATAAGACCTTAACGGCGGTGGTGAAGGGATGTTTCAACAATAAGGACAGTCACAGCATCGGTTTCGTGGTGCGCTGGTTGGAGGAGCACTGTCACAGGCTCATATTCCCCATACACAGGTACTTTTATACAATACCATTATTATTAGCCTATCAATGTCCTCACTAGTGGAGCTCAGGCCTTACCTAAGGATGGAATAATATAGGCTACAGCAAAAGTGGTTCCGTTGCGTATTAATTCTGCAGTTGGAACCAGGACCAACGGCTTTACTTACCTTGCGAACGACGAAGGAGCTCGAGGAGAATAAATTTTTGGTCACCCATTCATTGACAGATCGTCTACATCAATACGAACGACGTCGACATCAATATTGGAGATTGCATTAACCAAAAATATGTTGAACAACTCTAATTTTGTGTAGGCCTTCGTATGCATATATGTTTATCTATATAAAGTTCTTCTGAATAGTCCAATATTTTTATCTTAAACGCGTACCAACTTATTCAAAAGGTGATGACTGTTTTACTGCGATGAACTCTTCATTTTTTATAGTTTTCGACTATTGAATTGTTTCTGTTAAATCCAATCACTATTTTTGTTACCTTCATTCTATATTCAGAAGTTTAAATTATGTAACAGATCCTACGCATAGTCTCGACTCTAACTTATCAGTCCAAGAACTTCGGTCGGGCCGGCTATTTGCAAACCGATATAATGCACTCCAGTTCGTTGATTTTTTTTTGAACGGGTAACTATTAGGATTTCGCGAGTCGATCAAGTGACTCCCGAGATCTATATGCGACGAGGGCGTTGAGGTGATAGTGTGATGTTAGGTATTGCGTGCACGTGCTGGCTACACGACACCGCGACATCGAGTCGTCGCGGGCGGGCGACTTGCCGACACCGGTGCTGGAACTGGGCACACCGGTGTTGGAGCGTGCGGCGCCACTGCCGCTGTCGGTGGCGTGGCTGCTGGCCGCCGCCGCGCCGCCGCTCTACTCCCGCCCCCTACACGCCCCCGCCCCGACTCCCGCGTACGGTGAGATACACCTAGGGTTGCCAACAGTATTTGCTAATTTTCGGTGTTGAAAATATAGTATTTTTGCGTACTATATACGTCTCCAACAGTATGTAATACACAAGGAACCGCTGCAATACACAAATAAGGGATAACCATAATTCTGATGAAAACTGTGGTCTCTTGTAGCTTGGTATTGGCAAAACTAAATGTAACCACCAAATAATCATATTAATGCCTTATAAATGTACTGTTCTGGTACAGATTGTTACCTTACCAATAAGGCCGCCATTTGTGTTACTGTCAGTGTGTTGCACAAACGTCCGTTAAAGTTCTCATTAGTTTAAAGTGACATTACCCATACAGTTTTGACATTCATTAGAGCTTAAAGGCGTCATTAAACCATAATGGACGTTTGTGCAACTGGCGGTGTATGTAGTTTAATGTACCTTTAGCACTTATTTCATAGTGCAAATATATCGCACCCCCGGTGCGACACTGTCACTTTTGCAAAAAATACAAAAATTAGTTAAATATGTAATAATTGTCCTAAAGCCCCCTTTACTTGATGCGATAATGCTCCTTTTGTAGGGACTATGACTACGGAACTATGTTCCGTATGATTCATCTCATCTGTATCTTCTAAAGTCATTGTTTTGTGAGGTGGCAGTGTTTAAAACTCTTCTCCTGAAAAACTAATTTTTTGCATAAGTGACAGTGTCGCACCGGGAGTGCGATATAGTGCATTATTATAATTGGCAACCTTAGATACACCAAATAGACAGATTTAAGTCGATTTTGGAAGTCGAAGGCTTTCCTGAGCGGTGTCCATATTTTACTCGGTGTTTGGCGTTCAAAAATGAATTTTTAAAAACATGATTTCGCATTAGATAAAGAAACTTCCCTTCATTTTAACATTTCACACACACACTTCGAGCGAGTCGTTGAAAGTTTAATGATACAAACACTTTAAAAAATGGAGGCCAACAAAGAGCGATTTTCTCTTGGTTGACATAATATTGAATAAAACAATTACTTATTTACATAAATCAACCAAAGCTGAAACATTGAACCAACTAGTTAAAGTATGGTTAAATTAAAATTTTGGTAACCCTGATTAATTCTATCAAATATATTTATCGTATCTATCATTACTGGATTTTTTTGTGTGAATCGATTATTTTTAATAGTTAAATTTAACAACTAAGTATGTTGAAGCAATTTATACAAATTAATCAAAATAAATAGGTAAAGTAATAGATTAGACGATTTTTATTGTTGCAGTAATAAGTTTTTGTATTTGGTTTAACAAAGAACGTTAGTAGAACCAAAAAAACCCTTTGTATTTCTATTTAGTCAATTCAAAAACATGAATGATTAATGGTAACTACTTGACATTATTGGACTAACTAAAATTAAGCTGTTCATGCTACTAACAATGTATTTGCTAAAATAATTATCAAATTCTGATTGATTTAAATACTGTCTTATATGAATCAACTAAGAAAAGCGAGTGCCAACAAAGAGTGACTTTGTTAAATCCACACAAACTTATCAAATTCACTTTTCTATTGCGAGAATACTGTTTGAATATTGTTATGAAAAAGATTAATTCAACCAACATGTTAGTCGATATTAATATGAAACACGCCCATCATCTTCATAGGTGCCCGAATAGTTTTAAGTCTGCAAACTAGATGGCGTTGTTCATTTAATGCATCGCGGTATCAGTTTATATCGTTAGATTGTATAAGTAATATGCCGTTTAAAAAAAATTTAATATGGGATTCGAAACCAACCATTCCAGTTATTTACTTTAGCTCTTTGGTTAGGCTCTGAGCCGTGGTCCGAGTTTAAAATCTGACTCGCTTTGGACCAAAAGTTCAGAATGATCAAACGGTTAAAGTGGTTGGTTGCCTTGGTTGAATTACCATTGGTAAATCAATTGATATAATCATATCTCATGCTTAAATTGACCAATCTTTTGGCAGAATTATTTTCGGTGTAAATTGTTTGAAACAATCAAGTGTCATATTAATATCGACCAACATGTTGGTTGAATTAACTTCGGTAAATTGGTTAGTACAACGATGTTTCATGCTTATATTGACTAACCTATCGGTTGAAAGAACTACGGTAAATTGGCAAGTACATATTTCATGGTTAAATTGACCAACTCTTTGATCAAATTAACTTTCGTAAATTGATTAGTTTAGCCACGTTTCATGTTAATTTTTACCAACCTCTTGGTTGAATCAATTATGGTAAATTGTTCATACAGTCACATATCATAGACATATCGACTACGATCTTATTTAAATTGAAGACTAGGAGGTAGTTGCTATAGTTATTTATAATGATCAAATTGAATGAAATCTTAACTATCTTAACAAAGTAACTATAGTAAAAATAATAAAAACCATCTTATTTAATGTATCTAACATCTTGTCAGGCTCATATGGAAACAAGATGCTTGGTCACATATATCACAATATTGTTTGATTTAACAATTTTTTTTTTAGAGTGAAGTTGCTTTACTCACATTCAAGCCGAAACTCACAGTGAGCTATGGAAAGATACTGATTGGTGCACGTCCAAAGCATCGCCAGATCTCTTGCAGTGTTTCTAGTTTCGTTACTCGTCTGGCCCACCTACTCATAGTGTTACTTTAGCCTTTGACGGTAGCGGCGTGGACGGTGAGATAAGTGTAAGGATGTGTGCAGGGCTGTCATCAGCTTCTTGGTTGGCGCGGCTGGTGTGTGCGGTGCCGTCTCACTGGGTGCCGCTGTACTGCTCGCGAGACCACGGCCTCGGTGCCAACCGGTTCCTTCACCACACCACCGCATACCGGTACACACACACATTAACGATACTTAAGCCTTCCTTTAATCAAAGTTTCGACGATATGTTGAAGACTTTAAATACGTCTAATAATAATAGTCTAGCTGAACATTTTTTTTTTGTTCCGGAGATAAGTTGCTATGTTTGTGGAACTGCTACTAATCGGCCGAAAACGCTTCCTACAAATTCAAGCCACTGTGAACGAAGCCAAGTCAAACTAAATGCAATGCTAAATATGTGCCCATAAATGACGAAAAATGTGCCCATACGTTTTTTTAGTAGGCAATATTTGTAATATTTTTGTTACTTGTACATTAATGTTTATAGCTGTAATGCAAGTTGTTACGTTTTATGTAACTAATTAAATGACATATTTATTTTATCAAATTTTTGATACATATTTTTTCTACTTTTTTCAAATTTTCAAAGCATAATATTTTCCAAATTACTGATACAAAATTTATTTTATTACATATTAAAGTTATGGACCAGGAGATAAATGCGGGTATTATTTATTAATAATTATTTATCAATATGTACATTATTATGTACATACGAGCATTATGAATAATTATTATTTCTAATTAAACATCATTATTTATCACATTGCACGGTCATTATTATATTACTACATGAAATATGAGCAATTTGATAATAAAGCTAGACACAGTGCAGGGAGGAAGAAAGCGTGGCACGATTTACTAGAAGACGCTAATTATTAGGTAATGAATCTGAATGCTTAAACTTTATTTCATTTTATGTTTTAAAGTAATATGTCAAAACTATAAAACATACAAAAGATATGTAACACACAAAGATATTTTTGTCAAATAAAATCGTTTTCTTCCCAACCTCATCGTTACTAACTGAACGATTGCTTTTTAAATAACTCTTTTTTTAAATGCCAACTTTCAAGTAGCAAAATGTTTTGTAAGTTATTTTTTGTTTACCAAATGTTTTATTAGTTAAGTCGATTCTGGTTTGCTCAGTAAACTTAATGCGCTCCTCCTCTCTTTGCTCGTCGTCTAATTTCACCAATAATGTTACCTTAACTTGCTTTTACAAAAGTGATTCGTTTCTGGCATACGTTTGTCGCACACTAACCTAACCTAACCCACATTTTTCTGTCGCTATACTTATTATAACATTTTGAACTCAAATTTACACACTCAGACAGTAATTGTCAATGTAGGAAAATGGAATGGCATACATTGACGAAACATTATTCGTCTAAAAGTTGTGCAGCCTAGTGAAAGATTGAACCAATGATAAATATCCCAAATGCTTTTGTGATAATAATAACCAGGTTAACAATAATTCTACCAAATGAACTGTTGTCATACAAACATTCATATAATTATAATGTATACAAATCGTGTGAGTTTAAAAATATTATTAGCAAACCGATACGGGCCGGAAATTGCAAACAAAGTGCGCCATCTAGAATCGTTACGGAAGAAAAAAGTGAGGTTAGAGACTTCATCAATTTTTCTAACAAAATGTCGTGATAACGGTTTGATACCTACGTGCGTTCGTATTAAGCCGCGTGTACACATAGCACATTCCAGTGACATTCTACGGAGCGCGAGTGTTCGTCTTCTTAAACAACTGATACGTAACGGTCATCGTGAGTTGGACAGTGTACAGCGTGCCCTTTATAAAGTGCATAGTGAGTGTGTGACCGAGCTATCGTTAGTTATCGTGAGCTTATGTGATCGCGTAACGTATCAGCAAGCAAGCAGAATTTTCGAGTTATCCACGCAAAAGCATGAACGTAAATTCGACAAATTGCATATGTTTCGTAGTGGAAGATCAAGGATCACTGGGGAGTCAGTTGATGACGTCATCAACTTATCGGATACTACACTTGACGGTGCCACTCGCAGTGTTTTAGCAAAGGGACTGAATTTTGCTACTACCCCGAAGAGGATACCGTATGAACATATCATCAGCAGTATAGAGGAGACAATAGTTCGTAATAAGGTACCAACTGATGATGCCGACGCTTTGAGGCAAGATGTCGCTATCGTGTTACGTAAATCCAAAGTACCTAAGAGCAACGTCACGAACGAAGAGCGTAGAGCTCTTAAGAACTTGAGAACTAATAAGGACCTTCTCGTTCTCAAGGCCGACAAAGGCAACGCTACCGTCGTGATAAATACTAGCGATTACGACTCCAAAATACTTGCTCTGTTGCAAGATGATAACATATATAAGCCGGTATCGTACGATCCAACTGCGAGAGTTACAAGGAGAATACGTGCTGTTATCAGGGATTATAAACACCTTTTCACCGAGGACATCTTTGAGAACCTATACAAACCGAAGATAGTACAACCACCAAAATTATACGGATTGCCGAAAGTGCATAAGGCCAGCGTTCCACTGAGACCGATTGTGAGTCAGATTGACTCACCTACTTATTATTTGGCAAAACACGTTGCTTCCGTACTGCAACCCCTTGTGGGCACTACAACATCCTTTGTGAAGGACTCGCGTCATTTTGTACAGATCCTCGATGATACAAAACTGGATCCGGATGACGTAATGGTGAGTTTTGATGTTGAGTCGCTGTTCACCAAAGTTCCAGTTAAGGACTGTCTAGAGGTTGTTAGGATGAAACTTAGACAAAACGATATACCGGAAGGGTACATGGTTCTATTACGAAACTGTTTAGATGGCAGCTATCTCCTATATCGCGGCAAACATTACCTTCAAATTGATGGTGTCGCCATGGGTAGCCCCGTAGCGCCACTTTTGGCCAATATATGGATGGAACATGTCGAGTCATTGATAGATTACCAGTCACATGGGATCCGTATGTGGAAACGGTATGTAGACGATGTGTTCTGTATCCTGAAGGGCGACAAACCGGAGATTGAGCAGTTCCTTACACACGTCAATAATATCCATCCGAATCTCAAGTTCACCTATGAGTTAGAGAGTGACAAAACCTTACCCTTTCTGGACGTTAAAGTCATGGCGCAAGCTGATGGGTCCCTGAAACACACTGTCTACAGGAAACCAACACACACAGACAAGTACCTCCACGCTTCATCTCATCATCATCCTCAACACCTACGTTCTGTGGAGACAACTCTTATTAACAGGGCTAACGCATTATGTAATACTGACTTCTTAGCAGATGAGTTGTCCCATGTACAGGACGTGCTAAGGAAAAATGGATACAGCGCAAGGAGGTCATACCCTATCCGAAGGTGTAAGGAAAGACTACCTAAGGTTCCCAGGCAACGGGCATTTTTAGGCTATGTTAAGGGGGTAACGGACAAAATTGGTTCCATTTTGAGGAAAAATTTTTCTATAGACACCATTTTTACTCCTTTATCAAAAATGTCACACCAATTGCGATCACCAAAGGATAGTATTCCTTACCAAAAACCTGGCGTTTATAAAATTGACTGCAGCTGCGGTAGTTCATATATCGGACAAACGAAGCGGACTATCGCCGAACGTGTAAGAGAACACATAGCAGCGGTCAAAAATCGTCAAGTGGAGAAGTCCGCGATTGCAGAGCACTTATTATCATCTGGATCAAACCACTGGATCGAGTTACATACACCTCATGTCCTTTCCACTGAACGACATTACTATCCAAGGATTGTTCGTGAAGCGGTTGAAATCAAAAAACACAACAATTTCAACCGGGAAAGTGGATATAAACTCTCACCAACGTGGAATCCGGTTATAAAAATGTATAAGTGTCGCGATCGCAAACAACCACGAACAATATTCTCGGATACCGTAAGTGCAGTGTGTCGCCACCTTTACGTATAATAAAATCAAGTGGAGGGTACATCTGAAAATCAGTTAAAAACATTATTACCGGATTACCCTCAACTAAAATCAGAAGACGACACCCGCCAGTTCTCCAGTCTCCTCGTGACCACGGCTGCTGTAACGTAGCCGAAACGTCGAGGTAAATAATTGTTTTAAAAAAATGCACGAACAAGACCCGATTGAATAATTTATCAAAGTGCTCTCTCATATTTTGTATTTTTCATAATGACCGGGCATTATGTATTATGCGCAATTTATCACTTGGTCCATAACATTTATAAGATAAAATGGTTCATAATTTCTGGACATATAACCTGTATTTTCACTTGTAGGAGACAACCCTTTTTTTTGTCGCTTAGAAATGCGTTACACATACCCGCTTTACCCTGCGCGAGCTCCACGGGTTATGTGGGGCTCTCCCCTGCGGACCAACCCTCAGGGTGGGGTAGGAGATAACCCTATTATAATTGCTCGACTTGACAATAGGGATGATGACTAATTTTTGTGTGTTTGTCCGTCAGGTAGAGTGTTAAAAAATATTAAGCACGTATTTTTTTATTTTTTTCGTATTCATAAAATTACGGCGTTACATTGAGTTGAAATTTCGCATGACGTCACGTTAGAGTACGTTTTCTACTCAACTGTGACGTAGCGAGCCCCCACTCCTCAACTTTAATGACTGTTATCTATACTATTTCTTGTTAAATTGAAGTAAAAAAAAAATACGTATCTAATATTTATCTATTATCTGACTGACGGACTAAATAGAATTGCATTTTTTTTACCCAGTCATCATCCCTATTCTACATTACGATCTAACCGTTTATCGCGTGTAAACTTATGTTGCCGAGTTGTTGTAACAGGGGTCCAACGATAGTTGTGATAGAGGCGGACGGCGTGACGTGTATAGTTTGCGCACCGCAGGAGTGGAGGGAGACCCATCAGTACTGGGGCACCGCAGATACCGCGCTCATGCAGCTCTATCCCGCGTGAGTACACTACAAAATACACTACCTGTGCACTACTATCAGAACTTTGACTAAATGATTCAATAACGTTGATGCTCTGGTTAAAAGGCAAGCAAGAGGTACAGTTAAATTATAATATAATAATTGTGTAACACTGGACTTTAAAAAATAGTGGTAACGTTTGCAGATACTCAAATATCAAATGAATGCCTCAGCCAAAACATAATTTTATCACTTCATAAGCTTTTGCGAGTGTTGCATTGCGTGTGTCTGAACTGTGATATCTTTGTTATTTCTATCATACAAGAGAATGGGCAATGTATGTGTTGTCTAAAATTACACTAAGGTTGATGACTGGGTAAAAAAAGGAATAAGTAATAATAGTCCTAATAGTCCATCAGTCAGATAATAGAAATATATTATATACGTTTTTTTTTATTTAACAAGAAATGGCTTAGATAATTGACATTAAAATTTTAAAATTGAGGAGTGGGGGCTCGCTACGTCACAGTTTTGTAGAAAATATACAAAAGCGTGACGTCATTTCAACTGAATGTCTCGACGTAATTCATTGATTACGAAAAAATAATTCATTAACCTACTAAACGGACAAACAAACAAACAAAAATTAGTCATCATCCCTATTGCCTGTAGGTTTGCGTTGATAGAGCGCGCGCCCCGTATGTTGTACCTGAACACGTCCATCCGAGGTTATCCTAAAGGGCTCCGCGCGGGGAGCGACCCCCGCAACCCGCTGCTCTCTATACCGGAGGACTTCGACACTATCACATTCCAAGGAGTGCCTTACACGCTTATAGCTATACAGGTCAGTAACAAAGACTGTATACGTTTTTGATCCGAGATCTAACATATAGGTATCGATAGTTAGATCATTTACAATTGAAAATATATACCTGCAATATTATTAAAGCTGTGTTAATACAGGCAATATTTTTGGCAATTAGTGGCTGCAACACATTTCAAGAAATACCAGTTGCAATATTGCAGTTATGTACCATTTGTATGGCCAAAAAGGGCAATTCTGCTAATGTTTCGCACTTCAATAGATTCTTTCAACTAGTTGACTTAAGTTGAATAGTACAATGGTAAAATGTAATTGGCCTGCGGGATGGCAGGTCGATAAGTTGCTTCTAGTTTAGAAGCACCTACAAACGCAGCTATATATTAATGTTGTTGTTATATAATACATTTTCAATTATAAATTATCTAGCTATTGATACTAACACGTTAGATCTTGCACCAAAAATGGTATACAAATGCGGAAATTAGACCCAACGAATTGATATCTTTTATAGTCTATAATATGTTTAAAGTCCTTTCTTAAATTAAACACAAGTTCAGTTTTTACTTTAGCTATCCTTACAATGATTATGAGATACCGTCTGATTTCGTACCAAACTGAAATTTTTAAAGCATTTTTATAATTATTACATTTGATCAATTTGCATTCAAAATTCTATTCAATGGAAAACATTTCCAATTAATAATGCTTAAAAAATTCACTTTGTCCCTGGCACTTATATTATGTGGGACAAAGTGGATTTTTAAGCATTATTTGTTGGAAAATTGTTAGAGTCACTAATAATGGTGTTTTTATTGTGCCACTATCATTCAGTTGCACAAACGTCCATTAATTTTTTTTTATTTTAATGCGACATTACCCATACAAATTTGACATTCATTAGAGCTTAAAAGCGTCAAACCTTAATGGACATTTGGGCAACGGACTGTATTTGAACTAAACATTTAAAATTTTTATTTGGTTACAGCTTAACATTATTCTGTTGTGACGTAATCTAAAAATAAAAGCAGTTGTCCATATAATGCAATATAAAATCTTTACGTTTCTGCCATCTTATTTATTTACAGGAATTGAAATCGCAGTTTTACAGGATTAAAACTAAATTTAGTCTAGCTTGTGCAACAGAAATGCCATTAACTATGAATAATTGTTTTTTTTTTATTAAATAGTTTTTGTCGACTCATTACAGACAAACAAAAAAATGAAAAGTTTCCTCTTTTACTATATAAAAACTAGAAAAGCGGAGACTTTCGTTGGATGGGGGATGTTATTATTGTAAAATGTTTGAAAGAATTAAGACCTCTCAGTTCAGAATGTCCAATTCTCTAACAAACAGTTGCACAAACGCCCATTAAAATTATCAGGTTAAAGCAACATTACTCATACAAATCTGACATTCATTAGAGCTTAAAGATGTCATTAAACTTTAATGCAACTGCCAGTAAATGTTCTATGTATTATTATTCATCTCAGTAGTCGGTATTCGACAAATGCATCATAACAGTAAAATGGACCTTTCGGGAACTGGAGGTTTTGGGATTTAGATATTCTAATTATTCCTGTATATTATTCATGTATATAATATTATTAGGTATAGATAATGTAATGTTGATATGTGGGAAGGTGTGGGGGTGTGGGGACCAGGCGTCGCGGGACACTCAGCTCGACATCAAGAAGTGGCAGGTGCGCGAGGCAGAACGGCAGCGACAGGTACACTCATTATATGTGGGGCCGGACCACGAATTTTGCCGGATCCCGGCATTAATTTTCAAGTTTATTTTCAAAAATAAAATATATTTGCAATATTCTTAAAAAACCACATAATTATTTAAACATACTCATAAGTTATAATTTCCAACATATTTCATAATTTACTATCGTATACCTGTTAAGACGCGTATTTGACTTATTTTGAAAAATCGTTTTAAATTATTCCTCATTACATAATAAGCACATTACATTAATATCTCTGGGAAATTTACTGTATTTATCAATAAAAATCAAAGTTATTGGACAACATTAAAAATATTTAAAAAATTATAAAGATTACTTACCAGTTTAATTAATTATAAATAAATGATTTTTTTTTTGAAATCGGAAAGCATTTCATGATTAACTTATTATGTTGCATTTCGTTCTTGAAACAACGATGAAAAAAAATTGCAAATAAAGATGAAAATTAAATCCCGAATACTATAAAAACTTGTTATAAACAGAGAAGTCTTCCAGACTGAAAATAATGACAATGTATGTGTAGGTGAAGTTATCAGCGGCTGAGTGGATCGAGCACCCGGACCGGTATCTCCTCGAGCTGGCCGGACGACAAGTGTACAATAATACTGCCCAGTAATGTACAGGTAACGCAAGTACACTCACACTCACTGTGCACAATAATACCGAAGGAAATACCTTTGCACCCAAAGCACCCGGGCGCCGGACTCATTTTTTCACTTAACGCATTCCTACATACATTTACTTTAAACCATAATTTAAAACATTTTATTAATTTCAACAATAAACATGTTATGTACTGTTAGAATAATTTTCACGAACTCACATACAGAAAGTGCATATCGTGTCATTTAAAAATTTAAAATCACGAAAATCAAAAAAAGAAAAAAATAATAAAAATCAGAGATAAAAAGTTTGGATGCAGAAACCTAGGACAAAATAAAGGGCGTGGTACGACGCACCATTACTGACCTTATTGATCTATTATAAAATAATATCAGTTTATAACAATGAATATCGAATAACAATTTGAAATATGTCACAGAATCAATTAAGATAAAAAAGTTTTATTTGTTCACAGGAAAAGTCAATGCGTTGTGAATACATTGTTGCAAAAAGATGGCCCCCAACATCGTTGTATCATGTGTGATTTACTTTAAATACACATTATCGAAGCACAATCAACAATAAAAGATTGCGCAAAACCTATGGATTTCAGCAAACTACTTTTAATTATTTTAGTCATGTTTATTTATTTTAACATTATTGTTTTTTGATACAACATTTTTGTCTTTGATTGTATATACTATCTATTCTATTACTACGTATCTTGCTAGATTTGATTGGATCTTACATCACTTATTCTTTTGTTAAGTAATAATGTATTGTATGGCTGAATACTTATATACTGTACTTACATACCTCTTATATTTTAACTGAGTGTAATAATAATATTTAATACGTAATCATATACATGTGTAAGTGTAGTGAATATATATGAAACCAAAAACTATGCATTGTCCCATGGGTTTGCTTTGAATCATTTTCTAAATTAATTACGTTCTTAACATTATGTTATTTTTTTCTATGGTCAATCTTTGTTTATTGCCAGCCAGATTTGTTTATTGTTTTAATACAAATAGTGCCTTACCTTAGATATAAATTATAACGCCTTTTGATATTGAATCGAAGAGTATCATTTCATTTACTACTTAAGAAAGCTTATACTAAAACCAATGACATGAAAATACCAATAAACGTCGTCATCCATTATACCTAAAAGACGAGATTTACTTTCTTCTTTGATGCTATTTTTTAATATTTCCAGCAGGCTTATTCTTTAACACAATCTCGATGTCAATTTCAATCCAATCCAGTGACGATCTCAATTTTCATCAAATCTTAACTCGTATTCTTGAAGCATAGACTCAATATTTACTCAATGTCAATTAGTTCATTCAATAACCACGCATTATTGAGCCAATTGGCGCTAGTGTACCAAATCAACAGTACGAAACATTACAATTGCAATGTAGATCTATCGTGATTGCATTAGCCTAGAAGAGTAAGGCGCCTGAACCCCTACTTTCAGTTCTTTTTTAATAATAGAATATAGAATTCTATATTTTTGTGTATAGAGATTTATGAGCGTTATTGTCACTATAAAAAATGAAAATGTGTAAATTGTAAGTTATAAATACCAATAGTTGGAGGAAATTTTTACTACATATGTATGTGGTATGTGTGGTGTTGCTCAATCGATGGAATTCCAGCTGTACTTTATTGTTTTATGTAAATTTGGCAGCTTTCAAATGAATCCCACTTTTACTTTACCTATTCTTACCTCTATATTGAGTCCGCTACGCAAATATATCCATAAAATAGTTCTGTTTTAATGTAATTCAGTCATTAATTGTTTAAGATTGTTTAAATAACTTTAAGTAAAAAACTGTTTCGCATTTGAGTCAGTCTTCACTAAATCAATGGACCAGATGACGTAGTGAGCGATAGCAAACTTATTTATTAACGAGAGTATTTATGGAAAATTATGCAAAATTATATTATAAGTTAGTAAAAACTTTTTTTTTGTGTAAAGGTCGTAACAGACGGTTGAGATGCTATATTATGATATTTAATCCTGCGAGTCACTCGGACTAACAATATAATGTTAGTACGAAAATCGTCCGTTAACCTTGCAAATAGTACCACAAAAGTATGGAAACGGATTTCCGATTTTATTTTTAAAATAAAAAAAGGACCATCAAAATTCAAACAGTCTCAACTAAAGTAATTCAACTAAAATTGAAGAAAACCCTATTACGACCTAAGATATCGTTAAAGGATTAACCGTATGAAGTAGCATAAGTTTTTTTTATAAACCAGAATGCGTGTTTATTCTAAAAAAAAAAAATTGAAATCAAAAAGATTTTCCATGATGAATGGACAGATCATAACAATCTAATTGAAGCGTTTATTTTAAATTTTGATTGTTTTTGTGCAAAATATTTAGCACATTCTTCTAGTTTAAATAAATAAAAACGCGCTTTGGATTCAGGTGCTTCATTGATGCTTTTTCTTTTAGCGGAATATTGTGAAGATGATGTAAATAATACTTAATAAATTAACTATTTTAGTACATAAATTTTTGTTTTATTTATTTTCTATATGCAGTCTAAAATGTCATCTCGTTACGGTTGTCAGGTATAAACAGGTATATATGCCAGTTAATTTCACTTGATTTGATAATAAAAAAAAAATATATCAACATAAGCGCTGTTTCATTACGAACACATTGATATAGGGTTGTCAGCAAAAAATTCGGTCCTAATACGGGTTTGCGAATTTTAAAAATTAAAATTTTAACGCGTGGGAAAGTGAGTGACAGAGAGATCCGAGGAAAGTATTTTTATAACAGGTAATATGGTAACTCTGTCACTCACTTTCCCACGCGTTAAAATTTTAATTTTTAAAATTCGCAAACCCGTATTAGGACCGAATTTTTTGCAGACAACCCTATATCAATGTGTTCGCTAAAAAAATCCTGGACAGAATATTTTTAATGATTAAAAAAAAAAAAAATTTATTAAATAGTTGCAGCATCAAGATAATAAGAAAAATTTAATTCTGACTTAAAGTATAAAACATATAGAATGTGCAGACGTTGGGTTGTCTATTATTTACCTGGACGAACTACTGGGTTGTCAGGTATAAACAGGTATATATGCCAGTTAATTTCACTTGATTTGATAATAAAAAAAAAATATATCAACATAAGCGCTGTTTCATTACGAACACATTGATATAGGGTTGTCAGCAAAAAATTCGGTCCTAATACGGGTTTGCGAATTTTAAAAATTAAAATTTTAACGCGTGGGAAAGTGAGTGACAGAGAGATCCGAGGAAAGTATTTTTATAACAGGTAATATGGTAACTCTGTCACTCACTTTCCCACGCGTTAAAATTTTAATTTTTAAAATTCGCAAACCCGTATTAGGACCGAATTTTTTGCAGACAACCCTATATCAATGTGTTCGTAATGAAACAGTGCTTATGTTGACATAATTTTTTTTTTTTTTATCTAGAACATTCTAGGTACTTCTGGTGTAGGGTACATAAAGCCGCGCTCGCGATTTGTTTAGTCAGTTTGAAGAAAAATGGACGAGCGACAAGTTCGAACACTATATTTATACGAGTACTTGTTAGGCCACAGTGCGCGGGCTGCGGCTGACAATATCAACAATGCATTAGGCGCTGGAAGTACAAGCCATGCGACGGTGTCCCGATGGTTTGACCGTTTTAAATCAGGAGACAGGAGCCTTGAAAGTCAGCCACGCTCAGTGCGACCACCCGCAGTGAATGATGACGATTTGCGCCGCGAACTGCAGTTGAATCCGGATGCTACCACTCGTGAATTAGCGGAAGCACTTAAATGCAGTCACCACGCCGTGGAATACCATCTGCATGAGCTTGGTTATCGAAAAGTTTTGGCTCGGTGGGTACCGCACATCCTTACAGACTCCAGTCGTGCAGTCCGTGTCGCTATCTGTCAGTCACTTTTGCTGCGACCCCGACGTAAAGAGTTTTTGTCAGATCTATGAGGATCTTTACCCCGACGTAAAGAGGTTACTGGAGATGAATCATGGATTTATTACGAGAACGATACACGTCGTGCTTTTTGGCTGCCTCGAGAAGAAACGCCACCAACTCAACCGAAGCCGAGTCAAAAGAACCACCGAAAAATTCTGCTTTGCTGTTTCTGGGATGCGCAAGGCATACTGTTTTATGAGCTATTACACAATGAAACTATAAACGCTGACAAATATTAAATCCAGCTTACCAAATTATCTGCCGCTATCAAGAAAAAACGACGAAGACGAGTCAATGTAGTTTTACTGCACGATAACGCTTGACCTCACGTCGCATCTGTGGTTCGCCGGCAGTTGGAGAACTTGGGTCACATCACGATACCCCACCCACCTTATTCCCCAGACCTCGCTCCATCAGACTATCATTTGTTTAGAGCCCTGAAACAGCATTTGCGGGGTAAACAATTTAATGATTTCTCTGACGTAGAGGCGGAGTTGAACAACTTTTTCGAGGCACAGCCATCAGAGTTCTGGGCAAAAGGCATCCAAACTTTGCCGGATCGTTGGCAAGAAGTCTTAGATACTAATGGTAATTACATCATTGACTAAACTTTTTTTTATTGTAATAATAATAAAAAAGTAAAAACTTAAACCAAGTGTCTCATTACTTTTGTGCCAACCCGAGAAGGAAAATGTTCGTCGATTTATATGGAGACCGAGCGTGCCACATTTTGTGTAGGTATCATGACGTCACGATCTTAATTTAGTGATGGAAGACATAATTTCACTTGCATCGAATACATGTTGTATTTGAAACGGCATACCGATTCTTATCGATTGAAAAAACGATATCGATCGACGGAGACCAACGTGTACAGTCTGTCTATAAAGTCATGAAAAGAATGTTTGAGGAACTAACATTAGACACAAGTATGACAACACTGAATCAAAGTACATCGACTGTCAACAACTTGATTTTTTAGCTCGATTTTCTGCATTTTTGATTTGTTTTGATTAAACTGAAGCTACTTCTTCTAAACTCCGTCGAAAAGTGTTAAAAATGAAGAGAATTAATCAGAGTGAAGCTCAGGATATTATTTATAAAGTTTTTCAGTGATGTTTATTGGAACAAGAAGCTGGACACATTTTATCATATTTGTAGGATGTTAAAGCTCGAACGGCAGTTATGGCTGGTATGTAATCGTGTTACTGATTGAGTTTTGGTTACCAGAAGTTTCAAATTTACTAAATATATGAATTTAAGTCTAAAAGAAGTATTGATTACATTATGCATTTATAGGTTAGATTGAAAATGTTAGAAGGCTATATTGTAGTGCGGCCCGAACTTTCAATACTTTTGGATAATCAAATTTATCATTGATTTTAATCTGAATAAAAAATATACCTGTTAGGAATGTACGATTTTTACCTACGTACGCCAATAAAAAGTTTGTGCTTTATATTACTAAAATTATAGCATTAATTTGATCATTGTGGCGATTCCATTCTTTTTGCCAAATACCTATAGGTATTACATTTTTAAAACTTACTTTCAGGAAAATCAGAGAATATAGTGATACGTATTGTAGATGAAGGTTATAAAAATGGTGGCATATTTGAAACCCCTGGGAAACATAGATAGTCGTCCTAAGAAATAAATGATTAACTGCAACATTTGTGCACTTCGACAAAAGATTCAGTTCTTTTACTCTGTGAAAAAAAGAGGTACCTACATGAAGAAAACATCAGTGGATTGCCAAAACCGATCTGGATTTTAATTGTAGCCTAGAAGTTCTGCGTTAAATTCTGAAATATATTGGGTTTTCTTACAAGGAGTGTCAAAGTAACAGGCTTTAATCGAACACAAGCACACATTGCAGTAAAACGAGAAAACAACTTGGCAATTATAAAAAAAAAAGATTTATCAAAAATTACGATTACTATATTGTAATCTTCAATGTAGAATAAACTCATTGTCTACGAATTATACGCCTTTCTTTACCTTTTCTGGGGTAATAAAAGTAAAAAAAAAATCCTACTATCAAAATCATTTGTCTCACTACACAGGGTTGCTACGTGCACGATCGCAGCGCCCTCAATTTTTTTCATGACTTTATAGACAGACTACCATTTTGCTTAAATATTATGTATATGTCACGAACTCACGAATGTAATTTAGTGAATCGGCGCAAAAAAGATTTTATGCGATAGAATAGAAATCGGCATTTTTCTGTGGGCAAACACTTTGTAGTAGCCGCTACCCCCTCCCGACACGCTACACATTTTTACGTCCTGTGTTGTTATGTTATGTTTCACGGCGGGCTTTTCTGCAACTCGATACTCAGTGCCTATTTTGCATGACACGGGGTTGCTTTAGTCCTGCCACCCCAGCTCCTCCAGGAAGCCCGTAAGATCTCGAACTCTGCCGCATGCTTCCACTAGTATCCTTGGGCTTCATAGATATGTAGTCCTTTTGTCTTAATAGGCTCCTGCATTCCAGTATCACATGAGTGCACAAGCGCTTATGTGATACTGGAATGGAGACTGAGGAGACAATCTCCTCAGTCTCCATGCACGCCCTGCTCAGAGGACTGTCAGAATAACCCATGTTATATAGGTGTTTGTTAAAGTTTCCATGTCCAGTAAGTATACCTACTATTTGCCTTAGAGTCTTGTTGCTTCAATCCATTTATTTTTAATATTAGGATCATACGGAAAACTAAAACAAAAATTACAGTATAATTCAATATAAAATTAATTATCCTTTCTTCTGCTTTCAAAAACGATATATTTTTAATCGGGTAAAAAAATCGCATTGTACAGCACTATTCTCCATTTTTGACAGAAAAAAATGATAATTTGTCCTCCAACAAATTGACCTTGAATTATACATCGATGGTTTTACAAGCACAGCAAATTTGGACTGTCAAATTAAAGCCGCAATGGAAAGCTATTACTGGACACATGACCGTTTTGATAAAAATAATACGGAGCAACAAAACTAATGATTTTTAATTCAAAATAGATATATCAAGGCAAATAGTTACTTACCGATGGAAGGAAATACCTCGACTATAAGATCCAACCATATTGGTGGTGTTTGAGCAGGTAATTATCGAACAACGCATCATTTTAAATTTCGTCCAACACCGATTGCGATCGAAAGTGGACTGAGCCTCGCGGCGAGCAATGAAGCTGTCTAGACGTCGTTTCGGCACGCGAAGTACGTACACTTTTTCCTTCTAACTATAAAAGAAGAGGACCGGCCATACCTACGAAAAAAGCGTATATGCCTAAACTTCAAATGCAAATTCTTCGATGGCGGATTGTCATAGGGCGTGACCCAAGATATCGATATTTGTATCGACATTGAAGTCATATTAAATAAAAGTTAGTATTTCGTGAAACTGCTACAATACTACTACTTATTAAATAATATAATATAATTTTCATTGTTAGGGGCATGGCTAAACTATTACCTATTACACTTCTATTCATTTCACACTTACGTACCAATCCTATTTATGATTATTATTAATTAAATTGAAAAATTCACGCCAGTATCAAGAAAATAATATTTTTTTAAAAGTGGCGTGAATTTATCAATTATTTATAAATCATTAAGCAATCTTTTGCTCGTATTTTGTTGGACATCTAAAATTTCTTGCGTTCTTTGTTCTTGCGACTCCGTTGCGTCACTATAGTAAATATAACATATGTTACCAGCGTATGATGGCGCTTCCCACGGGTAAAAGATTATTCGTATTCCAAATTTCATCAAAATCCGTTCAGTAGTTTTTACATGAGAGTAACCAACATCCATCCTCACAAACTTTCACATTTATGTTATTTAATAATATGATTGTACCTCGATGAATATGTTTCTTTTCCTCTAATATAGCCAAATTTTACATAGTTTTAAGAACTATAATACCAAAATATATATCTTAAAAGTTTTACAATAATATCAATCGTGTTTTATAATTATTTCCATATATATTGTCATGTTGACATTTTGCAATTATAATTAAATAGTTTTTTTAACATAAGTTTAATTTTGCATCCACGGGAAGTGTGACTACTGTCCATGATAACTACCACGGTAACTATAATAAGCTTTTAATGAGTCGATTGACGAATGAATTATTATGCTTTTTTTTGTCTGTTATATATTTTTTATTGTTTTGGTGGAAAGTGACATTTTGGTCCAATGAAGTCATTTTTTATTTTTCAGTATGAAATTAAACAGGGTGCAAAAGCAGCCCTTGCAGTTTCTTACCGGTTCCTTTCTTACAGTTTCTTCTTTTCTCGGTACAAGGTTTCCCGTAATAGATTGCTGAACTATAAGCACAGAGTTTCGACTTTCTTATATGCTTGTAACTAGTAAGCCAACTTGTCTATAAATTTATTCAATAAATTGTTTTGACTGAATAAATTTCGCTTCCTCCTCATTAAGTGAGATACCGTGCGTACTGTGTCACAATTTTAGTTCAGAACATCTTGTTTAGTAGTAAACATAGAAAACTTGAAACACCTACAAAATCTTTGTATTATATTATTGGTAAAAGAACATAAAAATACTGTAAACTTTGATGAATAAACAAGAGAAAATAAAGAAAACAAAGTTGGTGATGAATAAGTAACAATTGGCATAAGAGTAACATTATTAAAGAAGTAACAATTGGCATTTTATTTAAAAATTTGGTTAGCAAGAAGAAAACAGCCGATTAATCAATAGGCAAGCATACAAATATTTTCTCAGCACTAAAACAGTCTGCAGTTCATGTTCTGTGAACAATCAAGATAACGGTCAGCAATTTAAATTCAAAAAGGTAGCGTATTTTATGATGCATCAGCAAAATAAACATCCACGCCGCAAAATAATTATTTGGGTATTAAGATTATACTATTGAACAGCAAAGCAAACCTTTAACTATGCCTTTAATTTGATAAGTGTGCATATTTTAATTTTTATTAAAATTATTTAACTCATTTTATTGTATATTTTACTGGGAGTATATTATGATTAGAATTTTATATTTTAATATTATTATATATTGCATTCTGATTTTTTTCAATTAAAATAGTCATCATATGACCGCAAGACTAAAAATAAGGTACATTTATAGAATAACAAAATGAATATATAAAAACTAAATAGACTTTTTTTTTAAATAAGTTAAAAGCAATTGTCAAAAATTCTTACCAGAGTATTTGATTGGCAATGCATCATCTCGTAATTTTATTATATTTAAAGTTCGATTCAAACAACTTTCCCTAAAATGAAGTGAGCAGATAAAAGTTTTTCATTACATTTAATATTTTCTGCTTCTATGTAACTCGGCCATTTTCCTCTTTTGTTTCATCTTTTGGTAATCTAAAATAATTAATATATTTTTAAATATTAAAATTATCGATATAAACCATATGTTAAAGTAACGACACTAGCCATGTAAACAATATTATTTACGGACCGAAATATTATAAAAATATAAACGAAAAGAGCAATATAGCATAAATAGAACACGCCAAAATACGATATGTATCGATTTATACACGCAATCATTTTCAGAATAACTTACTTACGTTTTAAATACTGTTATTCCAAGAAAGTGTTTAACTTACCGGTGAAACGTAATATTGCTCGGTTTGCGGGATATTGATGACGCACAACCAATTATACAGCACCTAGGCATTGTTTTGCATAAATAATTTACAATTTTCTGCCATGAAAGTTATATAAATTAAAGTTATAAATGAAAATAACCACAAAACTTATAACACTGACAGCTGAACTACTTCCGAGAATACGCAAAGCAAATTTGCAAATGGCTGACAGGTGGTACGATAGCTATATCTCATGACGTCACGTAAAAAATTTTGAACTGTCACACTAGTGTTATCTTTGTTTACTAAAGAAACTTCTTATTAGTTAAAAAAAGAGTTTTTATAAAATACTAAAATATGAAATAAACTGAGCGAAACTATGGATTTAAGCGAAATCCACAAGGGCAACGTCATTAATTAAAAAGAAGAAGAAGATTGTAATTTTTTACAAGTGGAAATTATTTTATTTTAATTTAATTACTTGACTTTGGCAGAATTGTGCGAAACGCGCAGATAAACCTATAATAAAAGGAGTTTGCTATCAGCCACCAGTATTTATGTGCTTATTATCTATGCTATCAGCTTAACAGAGAGAGAAAATAAATCTTTAATTTGTCAACACAAAATCGTACAATAGTTTACTGACTCGTACTATGCAAACAGATTATATTACTAAAAAAAATCTATCTTGCCAAAATTTCTATAATATAAAATGGCTGTTTACGCAGCACATTTAACACGCACTCTCCAAGGTACACCATCGATATTTCAAGTCACCGCTCAAGAGGCCCTTGGGTCTACAGTAAAACCAGCTTTGAGGAAACTAGTTGAGGTACTGTTCACATGCTTAAAATGAGGAGAAAACATTTAACTTGCTGAGTAAAAATCCATGATTAATATTAGAGATTACTTGTTTTTCACTTTATTTTGCGCGTATTAATCATAGCCTATGTCGTTCACCTATAATGTAGCATCTCACTGTTTTTTTTAATCAGTACAGTAGTTCAGGATCCAAATGCAAACAAATAAATGAAAGGTGAAACTGTACTGTTTATTAAATTAGTATAGATAAGTTAATAACAATTCTATGAAGCAAATAACAAAAATAATAGTATGCACATGTCCACAGTGCGATATACCATCCTCTCACATAAACCATTTCTGAATACTGTTATAGCAACACAGATAAATAAAATATAATAGTGTGATGGTACTGTTTTATATAGCCATACTCTATAACCTTATTGGTATTCTTTAAAGAAATTTATGAGATATTTATTTATTTGTAATCAGTACCTAGCAGTATCATATCCCAGCAAATGTGATTGGTGTGTGAGGTGGTTTGATGAGCTCTACCTTCTACTTGATGCCTGTCTGCAGTATCACTACCTCAAACATTATGGTAAGTCATGTAAATATAGATGATTCACATATCATTAATAATTTCAAAAGATTTATGATTAAATGTTTCTGTGCAGCTGCTTCATTCTCTGAGAGCTTCTATGGGTTACTGCGTGTACCACTGTCAGTGAGCAATGAATTCAATTTGGGTCACCATAGGCTTCCAGACAATCTAGAGAAAGGATCATTGATATTATTAGTACTAGTGCCATACTTAAGAGAAAAAGTGGAAAAGATTATCGACAGATGGAGAGAAGAATACGAAGATGGAAATTTTGGAAAGGTAATAAATTATTGAATAAATTGTATCTGATAACTTATTAATACAATAAATCAGTACTTACTAATTAATGAATTAATGTTCTATTACACATGTGATTAAACTGCCTATCAGGCTTGACAGGCTCAAAAAAATGTCCTGATTTGAGACAACAATTGATGTTCACAAAGTACTGAATATCAATCAAAATAGTTGTTGAATCAAAAGCCATTACTATAGCTTTTATTATTAAGACAAACATCCATCCAAATGACAATTAAGAATTGATAATGAATAAAGAAATAAAGTTCACTTACCCTATAATTAAAAATAAGAAATCTACATTATATATGACTATCGGTCAGTTGCACAAACTTCCATTAAGGTTTATTTATGCCTTTAAGCTCTAATGAATGTCCTATTTGTATGGGTAATGTCGCTTTTAACTAATGACAATTTTAATGGGCGGGCAACTGGCAGTATGAATAATTGTGTTCAAGTAGCATAAGAATGTATGATTAAAGATTATAAAAATTGCAAATTTGAAAGTAAACCTCTTCAATAATACTATTTTCATTTGCTTTTTGCCTATAAACAGAGAGGTTATTACTGGAAATATACTATTTATTGTAGAGTACAAGAGATAAGGTCCGGATGGCTGCCATCAAGTTGTATAGCATAGTACATGTATGTAGTGCAGTGGGTGCACTGGTGCAGACTGGGCGATACCTGACCGGCGCCGCGCAGAGTCCGACGCTCGCGCATGCGGCGCTGGGCCTCACGTTGCGGGACGCGCCCGATAACCACGATCACGAGCAAGACACTTGGGGAGAATTCGCTAAGGCCATATTCACTGGACGTTTTCGGTGAGATTTAGATGCTTTTCGAAAACAGTTGTTATTAGGTTACTGGGATGGTATATTTATAGGATTCTGTAGTCATATAGCAATAAAGGAATTCTTACAGATTCATTATGTATCTGTTTATATACCTACCACAGTTACCAATTTATTATAATTAGAATTACATTCATAAAAATTTTTCTGTAAACTGCTTTAAAACTAATCACTGAAAGCAGTGTAACTAAAATAAAAACAAACTATTTTGTCATCAAAGGTTTTCCTACAACATTGGTAACAAACTATAAAAAGTCCCTTAATACTGTTTTTTTTAATGCACTATTCATTAAAAACAAATATTTGTATTTAACTTCAAACATGAAAGCAAGTACAACGCGTTCAAACTGTTTGAAGATGTTTCATTTAAAGTCCCTAAAATATTTTTTCTTTAAGTATATTAATTGGAAGGTAGTCACTTCCAAAGTGGTTAAATGTGTTTCTCTTCTGCAACTTTTAAAATAAGAGAGTGAATAATCTAAAACTTATATGCTATAGATATCAATAAATACTTGATATCTATATTGGAAGATTTTCCAATATAGCACATGTTCATATATCGCAAATAAACTTTTTTCATTTATTCAATCACTTTGAAAAGAAAACCTTAATATTTTTTGCTATAGGTAATCTGTTTCTCCTATGGAACCCTTCATGTTCGAGTCTGACTCGAATTGGCTACTTTTTGTTGCGGCCATGAGTCGTCAAATATTTTAGTATATATATTGATTGTTTCCATTTTTATACTAGTTTGCCGCCAGCGGCTTCGCCTGGAAAGTCCGATTCTAAAGGAACTTACTGTTGAATCGCTCTATAAATAAATGAAACCGCACTAAAATCCATTGTATACTTGAAAAAATCTCAGCGCGCGGGAAGCCGCTTTGTTTTATAATATGTATAGATAGATATGTGTGTTAGGAACGCGGCGGTATCGTTCCCCATGGTGGGTGGTGGGCTGCTGCGGGCGATGGAGTACGGCGCGTTCCTCGTACAGTTCCTGCGTTGGTGGGACGCCGCCGCGCCCACATCCCACAGCCTGCCCGCGCCTCCGCCCCCACACGTAATATTTATATAACAAGTTTAATTGATCATTGAATAGTTTCGATAGTGAAAAATAAGTCACGAAATTACACCATAACTAAAATTTACATTGTAATAAACATAGAGATTTCGATTATGTTTTTAAGTTATAAAATGATTATCTTATTATATTAAAATCAAAAGTCGAGATTTTTTGTTTGTGTGTCACGTGACTTGAAACACGACCCGCTGTTGTTTGACGTCACTCTGGCGACATTCTTAGATGGCGCTATTCTCAATTTATTTATATCTTTTTATTTCGTATTCGACCGTTAGCACTGTTCTTGTTTCATTGACATCTTTTATTCTACTACTCTATGCATCTGTGTACTTATCCGAATGACGTCATGAATATGCTGGACTTGCGTTTCCGCGGGTATGAAATAAGTGAAAAAAATGCGTTTATTTTTCCGTAATATTTATTTATGGTTTATTTAAATTAAACACAAGTATTGTACGCTTTTGGTCGGCATTGAATGCTAATAGCATTTTCCCCGAATAACAGAAAACATATTGGCGGCATAAACTGCATTTATAAATATACCTATACTTAAGACTACAATAAATATTATACGTACACAAACATAATACACAGTGTTTCCCCAGCTTTGCTCCGTGGAACTGCACTAATGAACAGAGAGAAATAAAACAAGAAAGAAGCAACCTTAGGTGACTTTTTTGCCGGTTCTCACTACAAGGTCTCCCGCTGTTGATTTGCGAACCGATGGTAGCTTTCGACTTTCAGAAGTGCTTGCAGCAGCCTAAATTAAATAAATTACATTGAACTTGAATTGTCCCAGCTCATCAATAATGTTTTATAGAAGTGCTATCTTCGATCATGACGAGGTTCTTAAACAAAAAATACTTCTCGTTCGTTACAGAAAATAGAAAAAGACCAGAAGTATATGAATAAATGCCCTGTATGTTTGAACACGTGGCGGATACCGACGGTCCTGCCTGTTTCTGGGTGAGTTGAATACACACATTGTTTATACAATTAAAACTATAAGTAACTTATAGATTATTTTTATTCGACATTAATAGATAACATATCGAGCTAAAGCGGAATAAGTAGAGGTCTATTAGATATCAGGCAGATTATTGAAGAATACTTAAAACGTGCTTTTGTACAGTTTCTACACATAAACATCGTCTAGGGATATTTTGTATAAAGTTCTAAATTAAAAAAATACTGGCAGATTTTAAAATCCTTTGATGAAAACTTAATTTGTACGCCTTTTTTGATGATTCCAAGTTCGAATAAAAAAAAAAAAATTCAAACAAAAAAATGAAACAAACCTAGGCGGGAAGCGCATAACCACCCAACGACAAGACCGATTTTTGCAAATTGCTGCGAGAAGGCAACCAAATGTTACGGCCATGCATTTAGTTCAAAGGCTCCAGTCGGTTCAAAGGCTCCAGTCAGAGCACCAGTTGCTTGTGAGTGACCAAACTGTGAGGAGGAGACTGCATGAAGCTAATCTTCATGCTCGCAGACCGCTTCGTACACCTCCACTACGCCGAGGAGATCGTGAGAGAAAATCACAGTGGGCTTTGGGAAGGTAGCCAGTGGTCTGTAGTGCTGTTTACCGATGAGTCTTCGGTTTCCATCCTGATTCGCGAAGAGTAGGCTTATGGCGAACTCCTGGTCGTGATAGCCGCCTGCTACACACTCAGGAAGTCCATCCATACCATGGCGGGATGATAATGGTTTGGGCGGGAATTTGTGTCGATGGAAGAACAGACCTCGTTTGGATCAGAAACACCATGACCGCTGAAAAATAACTCAATCAAGTGCTAGTACCAATAGTCTACCCACATTTACTACAAATGGGTCAAGAATTTACGCTCATGCACGACAATGCTCGTCCCCACAAAGCGCGAGTGGTCACTAGCTGGCTGCAGGAGCACGATGTCTCGGTCTTAGACTGGCCCGCGCAATCCTAAAACCCATAGAACACGCGTGGGACATGCTCCAAAGAAGGGCTTTGAGGAACTTACCTACAAACACTGTCGCTGAAGAGCAATTTTTTTTGCGTCTTTCCAGGACCTGGGCCAATATTCCATAGCAAGACTTTGTTAAGTTGATTCTAAGCATGGAAAATCGTTGCAGGACCGTTGTTAACGTCATGGGTGGTTTTACTGACTTAATTTTCGCAAAATTGCAAATAACGGAATAATTTCGCTATATTTTTCACTTTATCTTGAAAAACACATATATCGTTATTTTTACCATTATTCTACTTTTCGTCTTTACTTAAATAATTTATATTTAGGTAAAAAATATATTTATGTTTTATTCTTTGATCTACGCGGGCTTTATAAAAATAAATATGTTGTATGTTATTCAGAAAAAAAAAACTGAGAAAATTAAGAATAATTAAAAAAACCCTAGATGATGTTGATGTGTGTAGTTCGATTTTTAATTAAATGCAGTAAAATGACATATCACGTGTTACCATTTTTGTTACTTATAAAAATAATTTGTTTGCTTGTCATATTTAATAAATTTTGAATTTTGTATCATGTATCCAACAAGAGATTTTTTTTTAATTTGTGTTATTCCATTTTAGTTAATAAACGAATATTTAATAAACAAATAATAAATAACTGGAGAATCTACCTTATAATTATCAGAACCAAAAATAATCATACACAACCTAATTTCACACGGTGGAACGGCAAGAAAAATTTTCATGATAAATTGAAAGTAAATTTAAACTGCGCTTTTTTATTTAGTTATTGATTAATTAAAAGCAAAGGTTTCTAGCAATGTCATAGATTTTTCTGTTTTCATTTAAGTGTGGTCATAGATTGTTCTCTTAACATTATAAAACGGGAAAGACAATAATTTTAAAAAAAGTCATAAGAAAACACAACATTTAACTAGTCTATTCGCGATGCGAATAAGGCATAATTTATAAGATGTCATATAATCAGAATACACCGTAACTATATATATATTTTATTTATTCAGGAACAAACAGTTACAACAAAACATATATGAGAAAAATAAACATAACAACATATAAACCTATAGTTCCATACATATGTATTTAACTTAACATTACGGACCGGTAAACAAAAACAAAACATATTTATTTAAGTGCATGTTTAAACAGATATGAAAAACATTCAGGCATATAGTAATTAATAAAAAGTGTTAAAAATATAATGAAAATTAATTTTTACTTCCTTTTCATAATTTAAGTTTTGAAAGTGAAATCATATTTTTATCCTGTGTTGTGTGTTTATTACTTTCATTAACATTTTTCGTAATAGAATGTATGTTCCTAATCTATAAAATTGATGTAGAATTTTTTTTTGTCACCTTAATTGTAAAAAAATGTGGCAATATTATTTCACAAAATGATGCATACTGCATTTAATTAAACGTCGGACTATAGTTATGACGTAGAGAGCCCTAAGCCCCCACTCTTTAACTTGCTCCCTATTTATTATCCATGCTACTTCTTATTAAATTGTAACTTAAAAGAATACGTATTTAATAAATTTCTAGTATCTCACTGACGAACTAAATAGATTTTTTTTTACCCAGGCATAATATATTTTCTTACCTTTTTTTAAGCTAAACAACAAATGTTATTTCTCTGGTAACATTATTTTACTGTTATGTGCGATGTTTCCATATTTATACATTTAAATTTGATTTACCAATAGTCTATCCAATTTGTGACCTTTGACCAACACATCGATTATTAAGTTTCAATTTGTTTATTTAGGTACGTGTATTGTTATACGTGTATATCTCGGGAGCTGAACGCACGCGGCGCGTGTCCCGCTACCGGCTGTCCGGCCAATGCGCGATCATTGATACGACTTTATCTGTCATAGCATTAGCGAACACACTAAATACCTACCTATGTTACAGATAAAAACCAGTTTTTAGATAGAACACGTTTTCCAACAGTTAGACCTAGATTTTACTACATATCTTTGATTAAAATAGAATTAACGAATGCCCAAAATTGTATATCAGTTAAAACTTGTTCTTACTAGACAAGATGCCTTTTTACCGAAACGAATCAGTGAATAATAACTTTATTCTATAATTTTTTTTCTTAAGTGTTAAAAAAAATCACCTCGAAATTGAATACGATCGCAAAGCGAAGCGTAGCGATCGTTTGAAATTTCTTACCGATCACGAAATGAAATGTAATGATGACCAAAATAACTTCGTTGTTTATCATTCTTTGTTGTTATTAACTATCGTATCACGAAACTTCGTAATCGTAATCGTTTCTTTATTGCTATTTTTACTAAAGCTCGAAGTGATATTTTTTCTAAAAGTCAAATATATTAATGGCAAGTTCTTGTTTTGACTAGGTACTTCTAGTTTTTAACAAAAGCATTTAGAAAAAACTAGTTCTAACTAGGAAGAATACGATCTATCTAAAACTTAATTGTAGCACTTCTACTAAGTACCACTACTTTTTACAGTATGAAAATATTGTTGGCAGTGCTCAAATAATTTAGTTTATTATAATTTAATCATATTTATTGTCCATAGTGATCCGAAGTGTTTCAGAGTGAATTTATAACAAATTATTATTCTATTTTACTGATTGTTATTTTTATTGACTTAATTATTTTCCTATGCGAATGTAATGTACGCTCGTTTCTGTAGTACATATCATGTTGCAGTACTGTATGAAATAAATAAATTTTCCAACATTGTAGAAAAAGGTTTCTACAGAATCTGTAGATATGCCATGATATCGCTTTTTTCACTTAAATCGCGTCATAAATCATGTTTAACGTTAAAGACTATTTATTATTATTAATTTAATGTGATCACAATTATTAGATACCTTCTCAGAATATATGATTTCTGACCGAACGCCGACGAAATAATACCTATGTACTGTTTAAAAAAACGCCGTTTTTGAATGAGGAAGTATTTAAAAATAAAAAGAAAGCACCAAAAAAGCACCTCCACGAGATGGCGACTCTAGCAAACGTTGATTTTTGCAGGAAACGAATGGAACAAAAGTAGTCATTTCCGTTCCTTTTTACTAACATAAAAAAACTGAAATTTACAAAGTTCGAATCTTAGATATCAATGCAAATACGAATAAGTTCAAATAGAATCATCATCATCATCATCATCAGCCGGAAGACGTCCACTGCTGAACATAGGCCTCCCCCTTTGAACTCCACGACGGACGACATTGCGCCAGCTGCATCCAGCGGCCGCCCGCGACTCGGACGATGTCGTCCGTCCATCTAGTCGGGGGTCGACCCACGCTGCGTCTTCCGGTTCGTGGTCTCCACTCGAGAACCTTTCGTCCCCATCGGTTATCGGTTCGTCGAGCGATGTGGCCTGCCCACTGCCACTTCAGCTTACAAACTTTGCGAGCTATGTCGGTCACTCTAGTTCTTTGGCGAATGTCCACGTTTCGGATCCTATCGCGCAAAGAAACCCCTAACATAGCTCTCTCCATGCCTCGCTGAGCGACTCTGAGCTTCTCTAAGAGGCCAGCAGTTAAGGACCACGTTTCAGTGCCATAGGTCATCACTGGCAACACACACTGGTTATACACCTTCGTCTTTAGGCACTGTGGTAATTTGGACGTGAAGATATCGCGTAGCTTCCCGAACGCTGCCCAGCCGAGTTGGATTCTTCGAGCGACCTCTTTGTCGAAATTGGATCTACCTAACTGGATTGTCTGTCCAAGGTACACGTAGTGATCGACAACTTCGAGAGTATCAGTTCCAATGACCACCGGTACGGGTACAACATGGACATTCGACACGATTTTCGTCTTGTTCATGTTCATTTTAAGACCCACCTGTTTGGAAACGATACTCAGGTCGCTGAGCATTGTACTGATGTGCTCCATCGATCTTGCCAAGATGACTATATCATCGGCGAAACGAAGGTGAGTGATGTATTCGCCATTGATGTTGATGCCGTATTCGCCCCATTCCAAGAGCTTGAAGACGTCCTCCAATGCATTTGTGAACAGTTTCGGAGAAATGACATCTCCCTGTCTCACGCCTCTGCGCAATTGGATTGGTTTCGTGCTCTCTTCCTGGTAGCGAATCGACATTGTGGCGTTGCTATACAAACGCTTCAACACTTCGACGTACCTGTAGTCGATTTGGCATCGTTGGAGGGACTGCAGTACTGCCCAGGTTTCGATTGAATCGAAGGCTTTCTCATAGTCCACAAACGCTAAGCAAAGTGGCAAATTATACTCCTCGGTCTTCTGTATAATCTGCCGCAGCGTATGTATGTGGTCTATGGTGCTAAAGCCTTTTCGGAAACCGGCTTGTTCGGGAGGCTGGAAGTCATCAAACCGGCGTTCGAGACGATTCGTAATGACCCTCGAAAACAGCTTATAAACGTGGCTCAGAAGCGAGATTGGTCTATAATTCTTCAACAAGGTTACAAGTCAATACAAATAGAATACAAGTCGTTTATTAAGTTTTGAAAATTAATTTACTTTTATACATGAAAGGAAACCGGAAGGGTTGTCATGGAGAAATCAAGAAAGTACCGTAGCGACATCTAGTTCGATTTAGGAAACTATTTTTTTAATACTTCTTCATTGTAACTTTAGTAAGCACCGTAATCGATTAAAGGAAAACGATTTTTTTAGTTTAAGTTTAACAACAAAGTAAAGGTACGTTATGGTTTATGGTTTTTCAAAAAATGTGGGCATTCTTCTAATGATATAAGATGTAATATTGTTATGTGTCAGGACTTCGTGGGGAGGATGAGTTAAATATACTGAGCAACTTTTACTGTGGAAGCAACATTGAAACAAGAACAAACAAATAATAGTATTACCATATTTTATAAAACAGCTGACAATTTTTTTTTGTGAATTTTGTGTTGCTCCAATGATAAAAGTTATTCAGTATATTTAATTTATCTACCCCACAAAGTCTTGGCACATAATATTATTACACCTCATATATGTATTTCGTGGCGACGATGACAAATAATCGGAGTCAGTAACTTTGCAAGCGTAGCTGAAAATTCGTTCTTTTGCTTTCCGAATAATACAATACAACTATTCTGTGACTTGAGTTTTATTTTTCAGTTTATTTACCAGAAGTGAGTGACGGTTTGTTTGTTTCTGTCATCTTTGACATCAGGGGATCTATCTTTGTATAGTTGCACAATATTCTTAGATACAAATCTTAAGAAGAAATTCTTTCATAAAAGTTAACATTGCCATATTTAAGATGATGTAAAACTAGATAGTTTTAAATAAATTTCCATTAAATAAAACTAACACGTAACTTAAGACTGAATACTAAACTAGTTACCGTCGGGATCCGTTATATTCTGTGATTTATTTTTAATATAATAAAGCCATTATGCACTGATCGGACAACAGAATAAAGTAAGGTTAGTTTTTATCTATCCTAAAAAACAAAAATTTATTGCCAAACTATTACATTAAGGTTAACATAGGAAAATACGTAAAAAAATCAACTGTGTTAGGAGTTGTAGACAGGTGTTTCTAATTTATGAAATTATATTTTCGAAAAAAATAAACACCTTTGATATATTTATAACTTAAACGAAGTAGCCAACTTTTTGCAATATTGAGTTGAAAATTTAAAGGTATATTAGAAAGAAGTATACAATATATGTTAACGTAAATTGTAAACAACCTCAATTTATTAATTGTATAAACTGATGATCTTGCTGAAATATTTTATCTTAACCTAATTTCAACCTATAATAAATTATAATCTGATTAACGAAATAGCTTAGAAACGGACGATTTTTACAATTTTGAGTTGATACATATATCATTTGAAAGGTGGTGGCTTTTGGATTTGTATAGTTTTTATTAAAATGACTACTAGAAGTCGAAAGAATTCTAAAGCGAAAAGAAAATTGATTCTTACAACATTTCCAGTGATGGTCCAAATGTTTTTGTTAATTATTCGTACGCGGAAGTTTAAAATATGTGGTTAAGATATATGTTGTTGAATTGTTTATATATAGTATGGAAATAAAAGGTTATCGTTATTAAAAAAAGTGTTTTATTCACTAAAACCCATGGTTTTCAATAGATATCTTACAATATATTATCTTAAAAAAATATTTATAAAATAGTCAAAAAATTGGAATTAACATATAATAAAAAAGGTTCAGTGCCCGACTCGCGTTTAGAAGATCCTTGTTAAATAAATTTTGAATTACAAAGATAATAAGGCGCGAGAGTCTACAAGTACTGTATGTCATCGGTGATGACGGGCGGTAGGTAATGGTGCGCGAGCTGCCGGCCGCCCCCCGCTAGCAGCACGAGGCGCGCGTGCGGGCCCCCCACCAGCACGGGCGTGGGGCGGCAGTCCGGACCCACAATCGCGGGTGGTAGTGACGACGCGTACTGGCGCAGCTCCGCGCGTGTTTCGAACACCTTATCCCCGTACACCAGCCCGGGCCCCGGACTCGGTATCACCTTCCACGCTTCGCTTGTCTCGAAGTACCCGCCTTCGCCCTGCATGCCATAAGATAACACGTTAAGCATTGACCTTGCAAATACAGCCATGGATAGTTTGCCCAATGTGCTTATCCGCATGGTGTACCTGCCCCCCTCCCCTCCATGCCAAAGGATCCTATGAAGATGTCGAACTGAACTCTTGCCTGAGTTTGATACCGATTATAACCCACGTATACCCGATTCATATATCAACAGAATGACCATCCCCCTATCCTGATAAAAGAACAAAAAATAAAAAAGACAAATATTACTCGATGTTTGCACTCCTCACGTCACGTCTGATGACATCATGTTATACATTCAGAATTAAGGCCATTTCGATCAAAACTTAACCGTACCTCGAATGTAGAGACAGCATAGTGGTTCCCTCTTTTAGCGGTGACGACGCTGACCAGTGCGCCGTCCTTGTTCACGATGGGAGTGCCCGCTATGTATTGGTTAGCTGACTCGAAGGTGGGCGCACACCGCCATTGCGCCAGCACACCGTCCGAAGATATAATTAATAGCCGCTTCGTGCGGTTTATGAATACCTGAAAGTAACTCAAATTGGTTATAAGACTACCATATTCAGAATATTATTCAGTAGAACATCAGATGGCAATAAAATCGATTTTGAACTCCTAACGCCTTAAATTAAGAATTAACTAAAGAAATCTGATAATTTTCATATAATGTTCACTGTATTTTAAATTGATATTTTTAAAAAATTTTCTACATTTTAAAGACAACAATATGATATTCGAGGAATTGTGTAAACGCAAACATGTCTTATAATAAAATATTTAAGTACCCGATCTTTGATATTTTAATTTTTTGATGAAAAAAGGAATAAAAGGTATGCTCATATAACCCATGCTTTCTTATTCAACGGTAAGGCAAAGAAATCTATATCCATACAGCCATAAGTTGGGTTCTACTATTGTTAAAATACTTCACACACAGAAAATAGAAAAAAAAAAACGCTCAAAGTGGCAGAATTGAGGTTGCTAGGCGGTCGGAGTTCGCACTTATGACTAAAATTTGTAAATATTATACAAATTCTAGCAATATCTCGTATATATATAACATTCTATTAAATCCCTATTTAAGTCCAATGCTCAAAAATTTGAGAATCCCTGTCATAAAGGGTGGCGATTATTATTCTACAAGATCAGTAGAGCGACCGCCTAACTCTTATAGTCACGTTATAGGCTACGATATCTTAGCGATGTTATGGCAATATTTCATTTCATTTTAATACTTTTTGGCGGTTTTTGGAATAATTTTGTAAGTTGTTAAGACTGCTGTTAAATCCATAATTTATCAGTCTTTATTATTAGTTCGTCATTATTAAAATACAAGTCACAGTATTAAACTGAAACTAAATATCGCCATTGCATCGCTAAGATGTAGCTAGAGTTGAAGCTAGAGAACAAGAGGGAAGTCAGTTAATTCTACAATGTTTACGTAATATGTAATCGCATTTCAATAGAATCTCAACGACTTCAATTTTACCATTGTACTTTGTACCTAAAGTCCAATATTATTACTGCAATATCTTTCACTTAAATAATGTCAAAATGAAACTAAATGAGTTTCTATTGATATGCGATTTTTACATAATTATTAGCAGAACTGACCTGCTAGTCTTGCAATATATAATGCTCTTTTTTGTCTCTTACTGGGAGGGGTACTTATTTATTGAGTACTAGCTGACCCGACAGACTTCGTCCTGTCAAAAAGATTTGTAATGTGGCAGTTTTTTTGCCTACGTATTTAAAAAAATTCTCCTGAACAGAACCGTCACCCTGGTGATAGGGCGTTGTGAATAAAAAATAATTAAATAAAACATATATAAGGATTTAAAAGTAAGTAATCGCTTTATTGTTAATCATGTGAATCATAATTATTATTGCAATGTATTAATAGTAATAGTATTAAATATAGAAAAAAGAGATTTTTATGATCATAAAAACACATTACACACAACAGCATTATAAAAGTAAACTATTCGAATTAAAAAAATATATAAACATTCTCAAGGAAAAATGCTGGAAGAATCCATCTACCTGTACCCCGGAATGGGACTCGAACCCATTCGCGATCCAGGGACTGCTCTAACCAATGAGCTATCTAGGACCCAACAGCTTTGCTACTACAGAGCGTATTTTCATCAATGTTCCGGCAATACATGTAATAACGTGGAAATTGATGCATTTTATCTCGCGTGCCGAAACTAATACAAAAGAAACGCGAGTTTCGGAACGCGACATTAAACTCCTCCAACTATGTATTCTGTGCTCCAACGCACACACGCACATTGTTTTGATAGATATGATCTTTGACGTTAGGAACACACCTACATTGCTTAGACAACAGTGAGTGCTTGTAATTTAATATGAACTTTATACCATAGCAATAAAGCTCAAATTGACTACGTTTTAGTTACAAATCATTTGTATGGGAAAAAGAAAAGGGCTATTTTTAGGGTTTTTCCAGCAATAATTCTAATTTTTCTCGCCGTAAAAACCATCCTTGAACTTCAACGAACATTTTAAAAAAAGATTTGGCCAAATTGGTCGAGGCGTTGTTGAGTTATGCGCTTACCAACACATTTTGCGATTCATTTTTATATATATAGACTAGCTTTCGCTTGGTTGCCCCGGGCTGCGAGCAGCCCGGGGAGGTAACGAGTAGCTAGTGGAATGAGGGCGGTGGGGTTGTAAGTCCGCCTCTTGTTATGTTGGGTTTACAGTTTGAAATTGCCTAGAAAATTTCAGTAAGTTCTATATTCAAATAAAAGGTGTTAAAGGACACAAAGCACCATACATCAAAGAAAAAGTATTGCCAGTTGACACTTAATAGAAAAGAAATATTCAGTCGAAAAATGCAAGGAAAACTTAAAATAAATTTTGGATAGATACTTCAAATAAGTTTTGTCTTTTATTCTCTTATTCTTATTTATTAGTAAATTACTGTATAGTATTAAAAAACAATCGAACATATATTTCCATCAGTATTACTATCATTAATTAATCAATTTAATGTCAAGAAATAGTATTTATTGTATTTGCATTATTACATTACATTATTTATGTTAGATTTATTTATTATACGAAAAGGGAACCGACGTCGTGGCCAGATATTAGAATAGATCAATTCACGACCGATGGGGTTTTAAGTCCGCCTTCGTTTCAGAATAGAAGCTTTCGCTTGGTTGCGAGGTCACAAGTAGCTAGTGGAATCGGGGCGGTGGGGTTTTAAGTCCGCCTCCGTTGCAGAATTTGAGATTTTCGATTTTTTTGTTATGTTTGTTTTATAGTTTGAAATCGCCAACAAAAAGTTAATAAGTTCTGTCTTCAAATTAAAGTTGTTTAAGCATCATACATCAAAGAAAAAGGGTTGATAATTTACACGCAATAGAAAAATAAATATTCAGTCGAAAAATGCAAGCAAAACGCTAAATAAATTATAGTCGCTTATTCTTATTCAATAGTAAGTTTATAATTAGTATGAAAAAGGATCAAGTAGATATTTCCTCCAGTGTTACCTTAAATAATACACCAAATATATAAATGTCAAATTTCAAACTCATACCTACGTAGCACACTTTCATTTTGAATATCAAAAGAACATATTTTCTCAATAATCTAAAAGTATAGAAAAATATATTTTAAGTATTAAATATCGTGTCAAAAATTGGATTTTCTTTTCTCCATACTTACCTATGTGAAAGTGTGGCTATAAAGATCCCGAATTGTCAAGTATATCGAAATCAAAATTGAAATTAAAATGGTCACGGTCATCTTTTAAACATTATAAACCAAATGTTACCATCAACAAAAGCGATTCGTTTCTGGCACTTTGCCGGCCGCTACCGCGGCACGCTCGCTACGCTCGCTCGGCTCGTGCGTTGTTTTTCATACACTAACCTAACCTAACCCATATGTCATAATAAACCAATGGAAATTTTTGTTGCTTTACTTATTGTAAAGTTCTTGAGCATAAACGAGTCGCTTGTGGAATCGGAGCGGTGGGATCTTAGGTCCGCCTCTTGTTATGTTTACAGTTTGAAATAGCCTAGAATATGTTATTAAGTTCTATCTTCAAATGAAAGGTGTTTAAATACACAAATGACTATACATCAAAGAAAAAGGGTTGCCGGCTTACACTAAATTAAGTTAATACAGATATTGAAGTTTTAAGACCGCCTCTTGTTATGTTGGGTTTACAGTATAAAATTGCCTAGAAAAAGTTAGTAAGTTCTATCTTCAAATAAAAGATTTTTAAGTACGCAAAACATCATAAATAAAAAAAAGGGTTGCCAGTTTACACGCAATATAAAAAGAAATATTCAGTTGAAAAACGTAAGGAAAACTTAAATTAAATGTTGTATAGATCGCCTTGTAGTCTTTTATTCTTATTCAATAGAAAATTTCCTAAAAATTAAAGTATAAAAAATACAGTTTTTTATCATCCGGCAACACTTCAACTAATTACATTTTTTTTCTGTAAGTAGTCTGAAAAATGTTATCAATAATGTCAAAATCAGCTCTATAAAGTAAAAACCGTGAAAAATGATGCATTTTCTAGATAAAATGGTCGCTGTCTTAGCCGCCATCTTAAATTTTAAAATTTGAGCCTCACCTACCTGTATTATACTGTAGTATGTAGTATATACAACCAGACCTAAATAGCACGCTTACAAGCACATTTGGTCACAGTTCCTTAACCGAATGACCAGGTCTCCATTTTATTATGGCTCGCTTCGCTCGCTTTTTCTTTTTGTTTTTTTTCGCAGTTCTAATCTAATCGATTGACCAGGTCTCTATTGATGGTGTTCTTTATGGCTCGCTTCGCTCGCATTTTATTTTAGTCACAGTTCTAACCCTACCAATTAACCAAATCTCTCTTAACAGTAACTCCTTATGGCTCGCTTCGCTCGCTTTTTGTTTTAGACACAGTGCTTACATAATCGATTGATCAGGTCTCTCTTAATGGTCTGGCATTATGGCTCGCTTCGCTCGCTTTTTGTTTTATTGGCAGTTCTAATCTAACTGATTGACCAGGCCTCTATTGATGATTTTCTTTATGGCTCGCTTCGCTCGCATTTTATTTTAGTCACAGTTCTAACCTTACCAATTAATCAAATCTTTCTTAATGGTCACTCTTTATGGCTCGCTTCGCTCGCTTTTTGTTTTAGTCACAGTGCTAACATAACCGATTGATCAGGTCTCTTTTAATGGTCTCGCATTATGGCTCGCTTTGCTCGCCTTTTGTTTTATTCACAGTTCTAATCTAACTGGTTGATCAGATTTATAGTGATGGTGTTCTTTATGGCTCGCATCGCTCGCATTTTATTTTAGTCACAGTTCTAACCTTACGAATTAATGAAATCTCTCTAAATAGTCACGCTTTATGGCTCGCTTCGCTCGCTTTTTGTTTTAGTCACAGTTCTAATCTAACCGAATGACAATGTCTCGCTCGTTTTATTTTTCTAGCTAAAATAGTGGAATTTTTTTCTTACCACGTAAAGATTGGGTAAAGATAC